CCCCGCTCGCTGGCTGCGATGACGGGTCATGTGAAGATGTGATTTCGTATTCATTTACTTATTTATTTTCCTTGCCGGTTGCCTGATGTCGCTGCCGGCCGCGTGTCTCCTGCTCGAACTTACTCGCGGGGAGCGTGAGATGTAACGTTTTTCACAAATTCTCCAACCCGAGAGCGTTTTAAAACGCGCGTAATTCTTATTTATGCATCTTCCTCCGCTCGATATGGCTTTGAAAAAAAGTGGTGAAATGTTTGCTCTAAAGTAAATATTAAACTTCTGACGTTTCTCGCTTTGGACTTTGGCCTGCTTTGATTCTTTCCCTGCGGCTCGCCAAGGCGAGGGCTTAGCGACGTTGACGTTGGCCCTCCTTTTGTTAATTTATCCAGTGGAAACTGGGAATTACTGACTACAGATGGATGACACCTTAAAGTATATATTTCGTTTCAGTACGTTGTGTGTATAATTGAAATATTAACACATGATACCTCTCCGCCCCCACCCTCCCATTGACTGCTCTGGTTCATATCTAGTAGTCTTTATACAGGCTTTGATGATGAAAGGCCCCACCTGCTTTCAACTCTTCCTAAATAGAGGTTTGAATTGTCAGGATTCAGTACTTCTGGGGGGGGGGGGGGGGACACAACTCAAAAAACTTTAGGCTCCTGTTTATTTTTAATAAGGAAGCTTGTAGTAACGTTTTGCCTACAAAATGCACAATTCAGCTATTTGAAGGATGAAGTTGAGGCATGGTGTAACTGCTGTGGTAGAATTACCTGTTCCTTCTAACAGTCCAGATCTCTGCTACTGCACTAGTCCATTTTTGCAACTCCTGCTACTCCGGAAGGCAAGACTCCTATCTTGCAGATTTGCAATTGTATCAAGCTATGACAGGTCTTTATTTTAGATTCAGTTCTAATTCTGGCATTTGGAGTGATGCTCCAGTGAAATGCAGAAAATGACGAAGTCTTCTTGTTTTGTAAGGCTGCCTAAAACAGCTAACGCTGCACACTACTGGCAGGTGAGAGCCAGCAATTAGTCCTAAATAAAAGACATTGGCAAAAAAAAATTTTTAACTCAAAGCTATATTTAAAAAAAAAGAAAACAAGTGCTACCTGATCCTGGAGGCATCTGAACTCTTTAAGCAACTCTTGAGGGAATTTGAACCTGAGGAAATTTAAAGTTCTCTAAGGTCCCATTGTTTTCCTTCTGCATGGGCCTCATGCTACCCTAGCTTGAAGCAGCAGCTCCGTGACCCTTCTTTGGCAATTGTACCGGTTTAGGCACTATGACTGCTATGACTGCTTATTCCTGTACCTTGCATTGCACCAACACAGCTGCCTGCACAATAGGCATGCTGAACCAACTCAGGTGACTGATCCATTTGGGATCTCATCCCTCGTTTGATTCTCTGATTTAACTTGCTCACTGTACACGGGGTGAGCCAAGAGGTGGGAACAAGCAGTTAGGGGGAAAGGTAAATTGTGAAGCAGCGTTTGCTGCTGACCTTGGTAAGGTTTCTTGAACGATCAAAGGTGATTGGAGGGTGGTGTTCAGAAGACAGCTCTGCTGATTAACAGTCAGTCTGCTGCTACAAAAAGGACCTCTTTCCACGTTTTCTGACTGCCTGTGCCCGCTGCTTCCTCTGTACTGGCTCTAGGGATTGTTTGTGATTGCTTGATCCTTCAGTACTTGAGTTCACTAAACTGGCAGAAAATGATTTTCTTATTTTACTGAGTTGTTTTTCTGGCAGGTTGGTAAGCCAGGTTAGTTAACTCAGAAATCAAAAGAGGGCCAATGTGGAGAGCATTGAACTCTGCAACTGAGAGGGGAAGAATTGGACTATTTCTCCCAACAGCAGCAAATAGACTATATCTATTGGATACCCCAAGCTTCAAAAAGACAGCCAAGCCAAAGTCCCTGCGCTGCTGGAAGAAGTGGTCCTATCTTCTGCTTCTGCTTCCAGTTACGTGTTTCTAGCCTGTCTATTGTGATATGGTTCAATTTCTGATGTTGTAAGGCAGGTCAGGGGACTTCTCTAACTTAAAACTTTTTTATTGCTATATTTATTTTACTATAATTATGGTAATGTTTTCCAGTATTATTGGCTTCCTGATCCAGATGACTGCAGAAATTTTGCATGTGGGTGGGAGAGGGAATGAGAGACTGGAGGTGGAGAAGAGAATGGGAAGCCGCACCAGCAAAGATTAAGCCAACTGTGAAGCAACATTTGGTGCAATTGTAGCCTGCATGTTTCTTGTCCAAGCTTGAACAACTTTCCAGAAGTAGGCAAACTCTCTTCTCAAGGAGGCCGACTCGGAGCTCACCTAACATATACTGAAATGTTTGTGCATCTCGTAATGTTCAGTGGACGCTACTTGTAAGAAACAGCTGCCAGAGAAATCAAACAGCCTGATGATCAGAGTGTTAATTCAGAAAGTGGAAGAGCTGAATTGAGTCTGAGAGAATTTTGGACCACATCTCCTACCTGGCCGCTGACAAGTTTGGGAACTGAGTAAAGGATGGGAAGGGTGTATGGCAGTAGCTTAGCTGTTGAAGCAGTTTTTTGCGTTCTTGAAGCAGTTTTTTGTGTTCTTTCCCTGTCCTGTGAGTCTTAAAGTCTTTTTCTTCTCTTGCCTAACTTAAAGAGAAAGTGTCCCTTGTCATTTAGGCCAAAGGCACGTGCTAAGAGCTCTTTTCCAGGAACAGGGAGGTGTGGGTTTGGGCCTTCTTGGTGACACTGGGCTTGGTGACTCTGGGGTAAGTCCTCTGATTGCTATGCCACTGTATAGCCTCAGCTCTAGGAAAGGTGGGAGTTAAGATGCTCTGGGCGTGGACCGTATCTTCTGTATAAAGAAAGTTGAATGCCTATGGCTAGTTTGGGAATCCCAGTGCAGGGAAGTTAAGGTTTTGCAACTTTTAATTAGGAGGTAGCTAAAGTTACATGTTACATATGAACGGATATCCATCAGATTGTTGCTGCCTAAGGTAGGTCTTGCCCTCTAGTTTTTCCTGCTCAGCAGTGTCATCCCATCCCTTTCCTGGAGGTGGATCTAAGCCTTGGCTGAGAGCACAGTAAACCAGTTCGGCTAGCAGGAAACTTAATTTTGAGGGTCAGGTTAGTTTTTCTGACGGTTTAGAAAACTGACTGTGCTCAAATGAGCACCTCAGCCAGTGCAAGGAAAGGGCTGGGAAAGTGTGGCTGGATTTCGGACATCCCCTTTCAATAGCAGCAAGGTGCACAAATGAGTCCCGCTGTCTTATGAAACACTACCCTCTGCCCATATTGGCTGCAGTCTAGCATTGCGCTGTATGCCAACTTTAATTTGCTTTTATTTATTATTTCAGGATTCTAAATACAAAGCCTTATGCAAGAAAATTGGAAGTTCCTAAGCCTATATTCATTTTCACATACATAAGTAGATCGTTTTTCTTTTCCTGAATGTTTAGCATCCTGAAACTGAATTCATTTCACTACGAGCTACTTAATGATCACTGAGTCTGAAAAATGATCCTATTGATTTCAGACACTAATTATGCATGTGGCATTAAATGCACATGTAAATTTTCACAGTAGAGCGTAAACCTTGAGCAGCAAAGGCCTTTCTGAAGAGCTTTGGATGCTGCACAGTGCAATGTTGTAATTATACCTAAGTGTTACCGTTGTCCCTGCACTCTCAACTCTGATTTTGTTGAAGCTAAGACACTAATAAAAGTATCTTTCAAGCTACTTTGTTTTGTGACAGTATTTTCACATCAGTTTTCAATATTTGGTTTATATGGGTCACAAAACACATTCCACCCATGTCTATCGGTCAAGGAGGATGCAGAAACCCAACAGCAGTGGAGCTTAAGTTTAAAAAAAGATACTGTCTGAAGCAGTGAGCTGCCACCAATGAAGCCCCTTGCAGTTTGTACTAAACTGCATAGGTCTTATTTTAATTGCAGCTTTTTAGTGCTTTAGTCAAGGGTGAAGAAACAAGATAATGCTGGTGTATTATGAGACTCCACCTAGCTGAGATTTATTTAGGTAACTTGCACCACCCACTTATGACATGAAACTAAAACTTGGGAAGAGGTTGCTTCAGGAGTTTAAATGTTATCTTAATAATCTCTGTATTAATGCAACCTAGGTAGCTCAGTTTAACCCCCAAGTCTGTGTGCAGAGGGCCAGCTCTAGGAGGAGTCAGTGACTCATGTCCCTTCCCTGTTAACAGACACTAAGAAAGGGCAGCAACTGAATTAGTAACCTCCGCTCTCTTCTATCTGTACTCGGAAGTCTCACCATGCCACGTGGAGGAGTCAGGATGGGGAAAGCTCTTGGTCACTGTTATTTTTGCCTTCTCCACTTTATTTTCTCTGCTCCGCAGGCCCTGACCTAGTGGAGGAGTTGCCCAGCTTCTTAGTGAGCCCCACCCTTGTGTCGGATAAAGGTCTCTAGGCTGATGCTCGTCCCTGCTGATTTACTACTGGCAACCTCAGAGATAGGCTTTGGAAACCAACCTGTCTTCACTGTATCCTCGTGTCCCCTCCTCTTGGATACGCAGAGTGATGAGCTTTTTCTGCTTTCCTGTTCCTGTTTTGCATAAGGAGCTAGTATTAGACCCTTGCCTGAAATGCTACTTGCCTTTGTTTTGAAACATCTTTTAAACAAACACATCTCACTTCTTTATGATAGCAGACAATGGTTGCTTAAGGTAATTATGTGCTGTGTTTCGGAACCCTCTTGGCTTGTGCTTGTTATGGGTTTAAGAATTTCATGTGTTGTTCCCCAAAACCTTTGTGTGTGATAATCCTTGCAGAAGAGATCATTTACCTTGTGGATGGCTTTTGCTCTTTTGAGAACAAATTTTTGACTCCTGAATCAGGGACAAAAAAATCAGAAATCCAGAAATCTTGACTCTTCAAAATTTTCACTTTGAATACAAGAAATTGCTAGGCAGAGCCCACACAGCATCTTTCTATGTCAGTGTTGCAGGGATGAGAAAAAGAAAGACTGCCACTGCTAGTTTTGGCCTGCTAAAATGGACTTGCCGCCAGAAGAAGGTCTTGTCAAGCTACATCCCTAAACAAAAGTTGCTAGGACACCACTTACGGGATGCACAAATAACACTGCACTTTTGAAGCTAAAAAATGTCTGAAATACATATTTTTATTCAAATTTTGTTTTTAGAAATGGTTAATATTTATTTGAACATATGATCCATGGCTTGTTCTATTTACCTCTCCCAGTTACGTTTTGTGATTGATAGATAAATATTTTTTTTCACCTGCCAGCAGTATTAGAATACATCACTTTTGGAAAAAAGGAAAGGATGCTTTGACTGAGTTGCCAGCGTGTTGAGTTACTGTGTCTGGCAACAGCATTGCTGGACCTTCAAGCCTGTCCTTTCACTACTTTTAAGCGGTAGGCTTAATGGAACATTAATGTGCGTCATACACTTCATTCTTCCATACTGGGATGCTTGGGACTATGCGTAGCTACATTTTAAAATAAACAGAGTATGTTTATGATCTGATTAGTGAACACTTTTTAACAACAAAAAATAACTAGGACGAGATAGAATTTATTTTTGCATCTTTAGAAATGACAGGGTTGTTTTTGCTCTATGGAGGTTTTGCTCCTCTTTCCTAGACCATTTGTATGCAAGTTTCTGTTTTCTCTTCCCAGCTGAAGTGCTGAAGTTTCCCGTTCATTGGCTAGTCACACAATGTCGTCAGTGGGGTGGTAATATTGGGATAGGGGTAATATTGGGGCTCATTTTAGCCAGAGGCTGCTTTTCTCCTTTCTCTTTGCGCATCTGAACTCTCGAGTATTACTTACAGCACCTAAGATAGAGTAAGTACGTTCGCTGTCCTGGTTTGAGTTTCTGCGTTCATTTCCAATGTAGTTGTAAGAAAAAGCTGGGAAGTGTATATTTCAGCTTACTGTTGATAGACTTGGTCTTAACTTTATTACTTAATGATGATTATCTGTGGACTGGACTGGAAACATGCTTGTTAGGTTTAACTTAAGTGTAGGAGATACATGATGCTACATGATAAATGTTTATTAGTATTCTTTTATATATATATTTTTTGTCCTAGGGTACTGCTTTATCTAACAGGTGCCTTTACTGTAGCCCTCCCCTTATTCTTTTTTTGCTCGAATTTTTATATCGAGGGGGTTTATCCTAGCTTGGCATACCGAATATGCACACCATAGCTGATCATTTTTATCCCATTATTTTATTTTCAAATCACAAGGAATCTAGGAGGTTCCTAATCAAAATGTTTGTGTAAATTTGCAACATGTGTATTTTGTCAAACACAACTGAGTAGAAAGTTATTGGCCATTGCCACCTGAAAATACAGTTATATTTTAACTGCCGTGTACTTGGTTCATAGTAAACAATTCAGGGGCATTTTTTTTTTGCATTTTATCTTTGTATTCGTGTTTATTTTGTCTTTTTTTAATTGATATTGTTTTGACCTGATGTTTTGCATGAAAGGATCGCTCTCTGAGCGACTCATTCCTTCAACACAGGGTTAAAAATATGTTAGCAAATGTCATTGGAATACGGTCTAAAAAAACGCGCCAGCTCTTTCTATCTAAAGTTTATTACGGAGGACTCAAAGTTAAGAGTGAGGCTCACCATGTGCTTTGAATAGCGCCTTCCCAGTAGAAGCTGTTTCCCACGCAGTCGAGGTCCTCACGAAAGACAGGTTTCTCCAGGCTCGATGGGAGCAGCTCTCCATGGGAGGCAGCCCTTGTGTAAGGGGCCAGTGGTTAATGATTTGGATCATGTTGTAGCAGCTGACGTGGGGTTGAGGCATGTGCCCAGCCTCATCAATCGGCCGAAAATCTGCTTTCTGTCGTGCTTGTGGTAAGATTGCTTTTCCCTTAGAAACCTTTTCCCCCCTTTGTTTAAGGTAAACCCTCTCTTGTCCTCCCACCAAGGACTTCTGCCTATTGGCACTTTGGAAAGGGAGCGTATTGACCCGTGCGCGTTCAAATCGCAGACAGGTTTTTGGGGGCCTGCCTCGGAAGGCGCCGTGCACGTTGGCAAACGCAGGTCAACGACCAGCCGCTTACTGAAAGAAACGCGGGGAGTGAGCAAGGGTTAAACGGTTACGTGTGCTGGGATTGCACCACAGAGACTGGTTGTTCCATTTGACTAAAGGTCTTCTCTAGGCTGTGTTCCTCCCCCTCCTCGAATGTGAGGCGCTTGGTGCAGCGGAGACCTGCGACCTTCTTCACCGGGCACGCGAAAATCCTGTCATTAAATAAATCATTCTGCTTTCTGCACAAAGCTGCTTTTTGTTTATTTCCGTCACTTACAATGCTTTAAACCAGGTCATAACGAAATTGCTGCCTTCGTTCATGGTAGTTAAATCTGCTCCCCACCGAAGCCAAAGAGAGTGCTAACGTTTTTCTAAAACTCGGGGGAATGAGAGAGAGGAGTGGATGTCGCTCAGTACCTTGCCAGAGAGAGCACTTTCTGTTTAGGACCCATGGTGCTCGTTTGCCTCGGGGTTATCGGGGTTATTCTCTCCTAAGAAGAATCAGAGCTGGAAGTTGATTTCCCTGTTTCGTTGCTCTTAAGCTTTCCTTTTCACAAAGTGTTCTGAAGTGTATGAAGTATTTAGTATGTTTATATGAAGTTTGTGTGAAGCATATTATGAAGCCTACGAAGTATTTGGAGATCTTTCCGGTATTACTTCTAAGAAGTCCTGAGTTGCACTATTTAGCTCCCTAACACTATAATACGGAGCAGTTCGTTCTTCATCAGAAGAAGTGCCTTTTGCAGCCTTAGACTCTCCGGGAGCTTATATAGCTTACAAGTCACACCCTGGCCACTCATAAGGCTTTTTTTTTTTTCCCCCCCCTCCATCACAGACTTCTGTGTGATTTGGAATAGTTGCCAATCCGATAAAAGGGAAACCAAGATTACCCTGCAGGTTACGTTTGTATTCTGAAGGGGTTCAGTGGTTGACACTTGTGTTTATATCACACCCGATTAAGCCAGTACTATCCACTTTCATGCACAACAGTTTTGTAACCAACAAAACCCTTGTAGGAAAATCATGGCGTGAAACAAAGTGACGTTCACGTCTGTTGGAAATTCAGTCTGTGAAGCTCTTGCTCTCCTAACCTCACTCTTCTAATTCTGGCTGTTTTGCTTCTGTTCTGGTTTTATGCAGACTAATGGCTGATCGAGTGCTTGTGATTGGCAGTGGAGGGAGAGAACATGCTCTGGCCTGGAAATTGGCTCAGTCTCCACACGTAAAACAAGTATATGTTGCACCAGGAAACGCAGGAACAGCTGACAATGGAAAAATTTCCAATTCAGGTAAAAAAAAAGAATATATTTTAAAATGTGATAGTTAAACCTGTAAATTATTCCATTAATCAATTTAAAATCTTAGTTGTTAATGTGAAAAGATTTTTTTTTTTTAATCTTTAACGTTTTGGACACGTGAAATAGATCTTACAGATGTAGTGGGAAGAGGTTAAGAAGAAAAAAATGTCTGCGCAAAGCCTTGTGCAACCTCCACTGATTTTATGAGCTCAGTTGCAGTGGCTAATTCTTTGGATTTGGAGGTGGAGGATGCAGTCAAAACTCCATCTGTCTGTGTTGCAAATTCCTCCGGGGAGTAGCTTGGGCTAGCTGTAGTGATTCCTGCCTCCTAGCTGTCTAACTGGGAAGGGATGATGGTTTAGCTTGGTAGGCGCTGCAGTGCAGCCGCTGTTCGGTGAGCCCCTGAAAAGCGCGGGCAGCAAATGCAGGCACCTCTTGGAGAGTAGCAGAGCAGACTGCTTTGAGTAGGAGCCGCTGCTAAATTACTTACACACGTGCGCTGAAGCCCTGTGAGCCTTCAAACCTGTGATAAGCGTATTTTCTCAGCTAAAAGAGTCCATCTTAGGAAAATGTTTATCTTTTTGTGTTTATGATGTTTAGGATTTTTTTTTAATACATTTCTTTCTTAATCCTAGCTGCCTGTTTTGAGCTTCTAGCTTCGTATATTAAGCTCGGAGTGGCCGTAGTTGCAACTATTCATATTTAGCATTTTTGAAAAATCAAGCTTAAGGTGCTGCAAACTGAGCATCTAAAAAGAGATGCTGTGTTTAAAAAGACTTGTCTAAGGTGCTTGCCTGGAGGTGCACAGTGAATCAATATGAAACCCAGGATAATTACTCAGAAAGTCCTGTCTCGTATCCTTTATATACCAGTTCCTGAAAGGATGCTTCAAACAACTGACTTAAGTTTCTGCTTAAAACATGCATTTATGTGCAGAACTAAAATTAATACAGCATGCGTGTGAACATGAGTTATATGCATCTGTTTTCTGCGTTTTTATTTGTGAGTAAAATCTCTTTTTGTTACCGTCTCATGCAGCAACGTGAATCCTGTCAGACTTTTGTACAGCAGATATATTACCATATTTAACTCCATTTGAATGCTTAATTACCAGCAGTTTCAGTATCTTGGTTCGTACTTTCTTTAAATATTCACGACATCCATAAGCAGTTGTTTGTTCTGTTCGATCACTGAGGAGACAGCAGGAGGAGGAGCATCTCGGGAAAGTCAGATGTTTCCTTCTCATCCGGAGGGTCAAACAAAAATCTTTGTCCTGGTGCTAAACTGGGCCAATGCCAGCTTGTGTGGCCCGCAGAAGGTTAATTTCTGTAGGTTTTGCGAGCGGTGTCTTCTAAAAACTCCTGAACTTTCCTCTTACCTCGTTACACCATAACAAATGCTGCATCCTCAGAGTACAAAATATTTGAGCATGTGCATAATAATGCTTGAGCCAGGTCCATGCAATCTACTACACGTGCTGAAATCCGTTTTTTCTAGGCTATGGCCTCGCGTGTGCTGTAGGAGAGAAATCCACAGCCAGCTGGGAGGAGGGAAGAATCTAGATTTTGTGAAGAGGTTATTTTCTTTTTCTCTAAAAAGAAGCAGTTCATCATATCTGCTCAGATAGTTTAGTCCTAGCACGGGGGTCTAGATTTTTGCTCGTGGCAGAAAATGGAAAACAGTTTTCCAGAGGCTTGTGAACCCTATTATATCATGTAAAGCTTGGGAACCAACGCCTGTGAAACTGCTACTGTTGCGTCTGGTTTTCAGTGTAATCAAGGCTTGGCTCTGAAAATTCATCCTCCCCTGTGGTTCATGAGATTTCCTTTAACTCGCGTTGAAACTCTGGTTCTCAGATGATTTCCGAAACATATAAAGGCCAAGTTAAAATTACAAATAATTTTCATTCATATAAACCTTGCCTGGATCTCTGTCAAAAAAAAGTTTCACGGTTAATTTGAGTCAGCAATTGCTGCTGTCGGTAAAGACAGATTTGGGTTGTGTGGCTAAATATAGTTTTATATTTAATTTATACTTAATTAGCAGGACTACTTTTTTGCCAGACGTGTATAGAATGGGCTGCTGAATCCTGTGTGAGACATACATACACATATCTGTGAAGGGACATTAGCATTCAGACATCTCTTTCCGTTCCGGTTTAGTTCTGAATATAACTAATGCTCTTAACTTTAAGCTCTCGCTCTGAAAATCTTGGTTCGATTTCCTTCTGTCTGGTTTGCAAGGAATATTTAGGTATCTTTTTGAGAAACAAAACACTGCTACAAAAAAATCTCCTCGTTCCGTCTAAATCCTGAGGCAAATAGGGTTTGGGGGGAAAGTTACAATTATGTATTAACCACGTGACTTACTCCTTTTTATCTGTTACCGGGACATTTCCACATAATGTAAATCTTGTGCCATATTCGCTGTTCCCTATCTCTTGGAGTTAAGGTCTGCAGGAAGACAATTCAGGATGAAATGCGCAGTCACCTTTAGGGTTCTTCCTTTCCCTCCTCCCTTTCCCATGGATTCGTCTTGCAGGGAGCAGGGATGGCCCCTCTTCTGTCGCCCAGCAAAATCCCGTTCTGTTCAGTCAGGATCTGCTATTCTTAACTGCTTTCACAAGAGCCACTTGGGCCTGAAAGACAAACCTCTTCAGTATTGACCTTTATTTTAATCAGAATTGTAAAGCCGAGTGTGTCATGCTTTTGGTTTTGCTCTCCTGTGAGCCAGAAGTAAATTGGTGCAAGTTGCACATAGAAGTCCAAGGCCTTTGCTTTTCCTTACTTGCAGATGTTGGTGAAAAAGAATAATTGAACTGTTCCGTAGGTATCAAGGAGGTAATTTTTATTAGTGTTCACTCTGTTATTCCCCCCGCTCCACCCAAACACAGTAAGTCTATAATCAAAATGTAGGTTGCAGATAGCTGGTTGTGTGTTATCTGGAGATAACCGCTGCTCTTATGGAAGCAGGGAATTTCTTAATACAGGATGGCAGAAATGAAGAGGGTACCAGCACAAAATTGTGTACATTTGTCTAACGGAAGATGCTTTATCACTGCGGTTGGGACAGCAAACCCCAATGCTTTAATCATTTCCCTGACACATTGACTCTCCTTTCTCTCTCTTTGCTTCCTCAGAAGTTAGTTGCAGGAGAGAATCAACTCTAAACATGGTTGCCAGTATGATTACTAACACTGCATCCCAGAGACAGAAGAGAACGTAAAGCAAAGGAGTCCAGCTCCGAGGGGGATCTGTACTTTACTCCATTTACCAAATTGCTACTCTGTCGTGTCAGTCCCCTCCCCACACAGGCAGCCAATCCACATTGGGCTGTACTCACAGCTTTTTGCAGAGTCTATGAGTTCGCGTTGCAGTCCCCTCTAGACCTTGGCTTTATTTATTCTTGATAAAAGCAGTGGAATTGCATTGCCTTTGCGTAAATTTTGATCATGGGACTTGACGTTATTGCCTTTCTTGCAAGCTTTTTTTCCTTTTGTATACACGTTTTCTGGCGTTCCAAGTACTGTCCTGTTAAAAAGATAACTGTCCCAGTAGTCTAAGACCAAATATCCTTACCCATAATTAACAGCACCTTCCCTTATTAAGTTCAGCCTAATGTGAGAAAAAATGTCTAGATCTCCCTTTGTTTCAGTGAGTTCATTGATCAGTATGGCACTTTTGAGCTGGCACTACAGCAAAAGAAAAAGAAAGAAAAAAGGAAAAAAACAAAGCAGTTGCGGTCCCACCCCAAGCTGCTTATTTCCTTCCCCTACACCATGCTGGCACAAGCTTGTGTACAGCATCAGGGAGAACCTAATCAAGGAAGAGATTGGCTGAAAAATAATGTCTTTTTTTTACTCGGGGGTTATTTTTCACTTGGATCCATTGCCATCCTTGGGCTGGCAAACAGGATATTCCCAGAGATGGGAACAATTTACTGTATGTTAGTGTAGAGGAGCTGGGATTTCTGTTGTTCTCTTCTGCAAGAGCAAGGTAGGTTTAAAATGCATGTCAAACTATGGCCTATGACTGAGGGGTTGTTTTTTTTTGTTTTAGGGTGTATTTTTTTTTTTTTGTAGACACATATAGGCCTCACAGGTGTAAATCTATATGCTAGTGTAGGCCTCATTCCTCCAGATTCAGTGTCCTGTCATTCAAGAACGTGAGACTTGTGAAAATGCTACTTCAGTGTTATATGACAAAAAAATGCCAAATGACAATAATGAACTGCAGTCTCACCACCTTTTGTATCTTTGACAGCGGTTTCAGTCAGCAATCATGCTGCCCTTGCCCAGTTCTGCAGAGACCAGGAGATCAGGCTGGTCGTGGTTGGTCCAGAGGTTCCTCTTGCTGCTGGTAAGAAAAAGAAAACTAAAAAACATAGCCTTTATATTTCAGGAGGAAAACTAAATCTCAGTCGCAGTCTTCTTTCCACCACAGTCAACAGTATGCAAGTGTCTTCACTAGGAATGGAAGTGGATTCACTGTGGCAGTTTCCCTTGAATTCAGGGTTGTGGTGCGATGAAAATGAATTTCTGAAGTGTATTGTGTGAGTGATACAACAGTTAAAATATCCTGAACTGTTTGCTTTCTTTCCGAGTGCTTAGATTTAGTAAAAGAGGTATCACCATGTTTCCATACAGTAAAAGAGGTATCACAGTGTTTCTATTTAGGAATCTTAACAAGGGTTTTTATTTTCCTATGGAGGTTTCTTTTTTTTTTTTAAATAATACCTTTTTGGAACTGAGTAAACAAAGATTTATAAATATGTTCATAATTTTTCTGCTTTGTCCGTCTGTGTGGTCAAGCATTGTTATCGTCTGTTGTTCTCGTGAAATAACTAATGTGGACTTCTTGGCTAAAAGCTATAATAAAACAAGGGAAGACTGTCACCGCTTACCAGATGCAACAGATCTTTTTAGTCCCAAACCTTGCAGGATTACCTGCTGCTAGTTACAGTAAAGACTGCATCTTAAGGTCCATCTGGTAAAATAGCAACTGGATAGGTGGCATATGATTTCTGACATATTGTTCTAGCAAATTAATACACCTGTGGATTTGGACAATGCATGATTTTTATAAATCATCTGGTAATTTGAATAACTTCTTTGTGGTGTTGTTTTTAGGAATTGTTGATGACTTGACAGCAGCTGGAGTGAGATGTTTTGGTCCAACAGCAAAGGCAGCTCAGCTGGAGTCCAGTAAGAGCTTTACCAAAGCTTTTTTGGATCGTCATGAGATCCCGACTGCAAGATGGAAATCTTTTACTGATCCTAAAGCAGCATGTAGCTTTATTAATAGGTAAAAATCTCCTTGTAATAGGAATCTTTTTATTACAGCAATGTTTAGTGTACTAGCTCTCCAAAACAAACAAATGGTTACTGATGTATCAATACATTTTACCTGTGATACAATGCCTATAAATCTGAAATAACACTATCACACCTCAGTAAGTTTGATTTCAGCAGTCAGTTTAGAGGGGAATATGTGACAATTTTTTTTTATTTTTTCAAATTGCCTACTAGGGAAACCCAGCTTGGGGGTGATAGTCATAGTATGTTCTGTCTCGTTCTTGCCTCATCTCCAGGAGTATAAATTCTGCATCTGATGCTTACTCAGCAAATGATGATCTACCTATCAGAATACAATCTAGCTCATGCAAAAATGATACGGTAGTAAATCGTTAAAAACAAAGCCACCCTTTCACACAGTACTGAAATTCAATGGTAGGGAAGAAACACAAAGTTGACTCTACAGTCATAGCATAAGAAGGGAAGCCTGGATTTTATGAGTGTGTTATTCAGTAGTGCAAATCTGTTGCTATGAAAACTGATAAGCATTTTGATCTTTCAACTATTGAACATTCAAGATTTCTACAAAATATATTTGGAATACAGAGTGTTTACTATTAAATCCCTCTCTCCCTCTTTAAAGTGCAAACTTCCCTGCATTAGTTGTAAAAGCTAGTGGCCTGGCAGCTGGCAAAGGAGTAATTGTGGCTTCGAACAAAGAAGAAGCCTGCAAAGCGGTTACTGAAATCATGCAGGTGAGTAGAAATATCATGCAATGACTGGTGAAGTTCTCACACAAAGTAAGTTGATAACCATGACAGAATCCCAAAGAGATTCTTGTTTTATTTACATATAATAGGAATGTATCTAACAGAAGTGAAATCCTTTACCCATTATTTGGACAACTATGAAGCTGTGTCGTATTTATTGCTTGAGATGGACTACTCTTTTTAGGCACAGTTCCTTTAGAGTTCAATAAAATCTATCTTAACTAAGACCTGTACTATTTCCATCTGGATTCTTTTTTTTTTTTCCATCCTTTTGAGATCTTGCTATTGTAAAACAGGCACTTCAGTGCTCTAATATTAACACTAGGATTAAGCTGGATCTTGACAAGCAGCTTCAGCTTTAGGCCTTGAGTCATACACTACTTAAATGTGTAGTTAAATTTCAGTGGATTTTCTTTAACTTAAAGGTATATTTAGGTAGGATACTGAACAGATATATCAGGACCATCAACATCTGTTTTTTCTTACCTTAAAGAGAAGCAAAATGAAGTAATTCTCTCTGAAAGGCTGAAACATAGAGCTGGAAACAACATAGAGCTGGAAAAGACACATGCAGGTCAAGTCCTCAGCTGGTGTCAGCAGAACAGCATCTTACAATTCAGTGGAGCTATGCTGATTCATAGGAGATGATTTTCTCTGACACACTTGTTATAGTTCAGGGGTCAGAATATAGGGTCTGCCCTCATATTGTGTGTGTGTGGTTATCGGACAAAGATATAACTTAACATGTGGCTCACCTGTTCTGCCTTGAGCAAAAAACCTTCCTTATTCTAGTCTTACAGACCCACAAAATTATCTTGGCAGTGTACTGTGGTGTTTTTTTTTTTATTGCACAAGTATATTAGTCAGTGTTCAAACGTGGCATTGGAATGTAAGGATATTGGTCCCCTCCAGTGTATTCTGTATAATTGCACTTTCTGACCTGCACTTTCAGATTTAGGTTCATTGCTTTAACCTTCAGTATCATGAGTACAAGCTTCAGAAAGTAAAGCATGAGGAATTGCTTAATAAGTCACGTCATCTGCAATTTTTAAATATTCAAGCTAAAATCTACGTTTATTAAAGAAAAAGCCGAAAAGATGAGCAAAGACTTTACCATTAATGACATATCCAGAATGGAGAATGGATCCATAGTCTCAAAACTGTACTGTATTTTTTCTCGCTTTATCAAAAATATATTTTCTTGTTACATTTTGAATATTTTAAAATAACTGAAACACAGAACTAAAGCGATTTTCTTTTTAACGTAGGACAAGACTTTCGGCATGGCTGGGGAAACTGTTGTTGTTGAAGAACTTCTTGAAGGAGAAGAAGTTTCTGTAAGTATGCATCTCTCGCTGTAAGACTTTGATTATACCTCTTTTTCCAGGTTGTTTAGGAAACACCATATAAGTGCCTAGAGCAGGGATGTGTAAGATTTTATTATTTTAATTAGAAACAGTTCTCTGTTTATAAATACAAGTGTATTAATTAAAACTGGAAGTAAGGCAGCTGTGATAAGGACCAAACTTCCTGCAATCTGCTAAGATAATTCAAATTAAAAATAACGATAACTCAAGCAATGATTGTTTGTTACCCTGTGAAAAAAAAATCAAACTGTAAAAAAGTTTTTGTGTCATTGAGGGTGCAGTTCTGTGTTACGGTTTCTCTGGCAGCAAAGACAATATAAGAAGTCCCTTCCCTTCCCTATTCCTACTTCTCTGCTGCTGTTTGCTACTGACTCAGGTATACTACTTGAACTGTTTGTGGGACTGCAACCTAAAGACCTTTGTTTTCCCTTCAAAAAAACACAACAATGACTTGCATGTTTTCTGTGTTCTGGTTTGGAGCCCAGTCTCTACTGAATCATTGCAAGTAACTGAATCCAGTTACAAGTAGCGGGATGGCGAAGTGCAGAACAAGGCAAGAAGGTGTGGCTGGGAGTGAGGGAGCATGGAAACTCTCAGCTTTGCCACTGAAGGGAGCGTAACGTAGGACTACATCATGAAGTGAATTCCTCTGGAGCATGGAAACAAGCAACTGAAGACAGGTGCAGGCAGAATCCTCCCTTGATCAGCTTCACTGCCAGAGAAATTGTAATGTAGAAGTGTACCTGGGGATGAAGGACCTGGAACCAAAGGCTGTTGAACATTTTGACAACATTGATATATTTTGCGGATGTAGAGCAAATATTTCTGTCATTTTAAGCTAATTCCACTCCTTCAGTTAAAAAAGTAAATCTAATTGTCCAGAATGTAAAAGAGAAAAGGAGAATTAGAGCCTAGGTTTTGAGAAGGTGGCATGGGAACTTGACACTGGCTTCACACAAACTAGAACAGCCGATTAACATCTCAGGTTTCTCAGTCCCAGAGTTGAAATGGTCTGTGCCGGTTTCTGTGAACATTCATCTTGGAGGTGGTGGTATTTATAAAGTAAGCAGCCATCTCCAACTATTGCCAATCTTTGCATGGTCTGATTTCCTGCCCGATATAAAGAAATTAGAACTGCAGATATTGGTCATCCTTATTCCTTCTTGGTTAGCTTGACCTTGTTAGGAACTAAGGTGTTCTCTGATGAAGAACGAGTTATTCTCTTCATTAGTCCTTAGAATACTAGCAGACTTTCTGCGATACAACACAAGAACGTAAACATGCGGTTTAAATATTTTTCCTAAGGTGACTGATAATAGTGAATTAAAAATAACGCTTGTCTTGCCTGTCAAAATAAATCACCTGCCACAATTGGCTGTCATTTTTCTTATATTAATATTTTGGTATTTTGAGGCTTTGCAGGGGAATCCTTGCTTGTCTTTGAATTAAAAATAAGAAATATTTTTATGAGTACTACTGGCAGTAGTCCAAATAGTCAACCTCATCATCTAGTTTGCAAAAGATGTTGGCAGAGGTGTTATTATAAAGATACTGACCATAAAACGGTCTAGTAGATAAGTGACTTATAAAACTTCATTAACTTTCAAAATATTTATGGATAAGGAGAAGGACATTTTGAAAGGAATCTAATGCTTCCTTTCTGGAGGAGGAGGGGAGGAGGAAGGAAGGAATGTTTCCGCCATAGGGTATCTTAAGGATTTTTTTTTAAGCTTCTGAGTACTCCTTTTCAGCACAACTCTTGATGTTATATTGTAATTTTTTATATGTTACATAATAGGAGATTTCTGTAGGAAGGTCTTATAAACCGAGGCAATGCTTCTTGAGGGAAAAGGGAGTGTTTAGAATACTGTAGTATTATTAGGGAGACAGAATTTATAGTCTTAAATATCCATTTTGCAACGCTGGAAATGAAATATATTTGCACTTTATGCAATTTCAGTCATATATTTGACTTTTAATTACATTTCCTGTTTTCTAGTGTTTGTGTTTCACTGATGGCGTCACAGTTGCTCCCATGCCTCCAGCCCAGGACCACAAGCGATTAATGGATGGAGATGAAGGTCCTAACACTGGAGGGATGGGGGCTTACTGCCCAGCACCTCAGGTAAAAATGTATTGATAAGGAGAAGTTTCACTAGAGCTCTAGGACCAAAAGCATGTATGACTTTTCAGTTCCACTGTGAAAAACGGGAGAATGGAGAGAGTGGGCTCTTGTGGGTGGGAAGGATTGCCTAAAACAAACAAACCTAGGCTAGTAAAGACCATAACTTGATGAAGGAGGATATTTCTACTGAATTACTTTTAATTATACAAGTGTAAGTCTTTTTTTTTTTCCCTGCAGCTTTGTATTTTTTTAAGTGTTATGAAATACTGATTGCTAGAACTTAAGTGTTTAAAAACCCATTTTTATCTTGTGCTGAACTAAGCTAAGATGAACTTTGATGTGGCTCAATGCAGTTTGGTGTCTGTCTGGCAAGGAGCTTTCATTTGCAGAAGGATCTACTTTGCTTTCTGTTGACCTATGTCACGGCCAGTGTTGTTTTTCTTTTTTGATTAAAATATTTTTTTTGATCCTCTTTAAAGCTATTCATTTTATTTATGGAATGAAATCTGGTCATTGACCACTATACTTTCTAGCTATGATTTGTCTTTAAGAGGCAGTATTTAAATGCCAATGTCTATGCAAATAGTTTGTTCCAGAGAAACCAGTGGGGGGATTACTTGCACATGTAGATCATCAAGTATGTAAAAGCATTTGAAGAAATGCAACATATTGTGTTAATACTGTGGTATGTTGTCTGAGGACAGAGGAAGATACTAGCTTTTCTGCTGTTTGAAGCACGTGTTGGAGCGAGCTAGAGGCCACCCAAGCGTTCTGCTTGGCTCTTAAAAGTGCTAGCCATCACAGTAGGAAAAATGATGGACTCTTTTTATACAAACACTATTCTCCAATACTGTTTTATTAGATTTCTAAAGATTTACTGCTGAAAATAAGAGATACTGTTCTTCAGAAAGCTGTTGATGGCATGAAGAAAGAAGGTGTCCCTTATCTTGGTATGTACAAAATTTTAGTTTTTCCTATCTTAAGGAGAAGGACCACTTTTTTACATTGTCCTCTTTATAAGCCTAAGCAAATTCACGCTGTAAGTTAAAGAAGATACTTTGATCATTCTTTGAAAACTAGATTGGTATCAGTGGCTTTATATAAAGTCAGTTGAAATCCATGAATAACTTTGCATTAACAGTGGATAATCATGAAATAAGGAAGAACAGAAAGGACGACATTTGAAAATAAGTTTCAAAATTGTAACCACAATGACTTTTGCCTGTTATTTTTTAACATTTCTCCAAAAGTGTTAATGTTCTAGCTTTAAATGAACACAGGTGGCATCCTTTATAGTAATGTTATGAATAGTTTCCAAACAAATGACTTGTACAGTTACTTAGATTGATTTTAATACAACTTTTGATTATAGGTGTGCTTTATGCTGGATTAATGCTTACCCAGGATGGACTTAAAGTTCTAGAGTTTAACTGCAGATTTGGTGACCCAGAATGTCAGGTGAGTGATTTGTAACCAGATATAGCTTGTTATTATGGGATGAGAAAAGTCTGTGGCTATCTATCATTATTCTTAACAAACTATCTGATGAACAATTAGCAAATTGTTTGAAATTTAAAATACTTGTTCTGTTTCTTCAAGACAGACACTCTGTTATGAAATTAGCAACAGATATTCTACCGTATTAGTTTCTTGTTTAATTCCAGATAAGATTTTAGCAGGTTGTACTCAAATATGGTTGCTACAAGGATAAGCTTGAGTGAAACTCAGTACTTTCCTACCTTTTCCAGAATGGAGTGGGATTATTTTACTTTGTTAAAGAAGTGAGTCCTTCCTTTCCCCATTCCCTGCTGACAGGTGGAGCAAAACCCTTCATTTCCATTCTTGAGAACGGAGTAAAGATTTTTGGCCTCTACTTATTCCCCTCCATCTATAGCAGTCCATCCGTAGCAGTTATTTTACCCACAGGGATTATTATCTTCAAGGAAGAATATTTTTAAAGTTACATAGATTATGTGCAAGAGATAAATATATGAAAGTCCAGTATATGAAAATCCTTATGTTATTTTTATAGCTGCGGTAACCTTTTAAAAAGCTCAATAAAGAACATGTGGAAACATTTTTTGTTTTCTTTACTTTGCTAGTCTCTATTCTTGTAGGTAATTCTTCCACTGTTGAAAAGTGATTTGTATGAAGTGATGCAAGCAGTCATCAATAGAAAGTTGTCTAGTTCCATGCCTGTTTGGTCTGAAGACAGTGCAGCTGTGACTGTGGTCATGGCTAGTGAAGGATATCCAGGAACGTATCCCAAGGGTTTGGAAATAACAGGTAAATACAGTAGGAGAAGCTGCATAAGTCTCATTCCTCTCCTGCAGTCTTTGCATTCTCTCTTTTGCCCGATAAAGCTGAATCTGTCTAATCCAGATTCTTAGAAACTTCAGATGCTGTGGTTCTGGGTCAGAAAGAGGCGACTGAATTTTCACACTAAGAAGTTCATTTGTAATGCAGCCATACCATTTTCAAATCTCCACATCCATATTGTTTAATTCCATAGCATTTCCTTAATATAGTGTTATAGTGTAGTTCTAGGCTCATCACTGATTTTTACATAATCTTGATGCTGATATGCTTTGTTGTCTCTGAAGCGGTGAAGTATAAAATCCAGCTGGAACTAAATGTTGTATGCGGGTGTTTCAGCTAAATACCTCTTTCTATGTCTCTAAACATAGAAGTAGCAGACTGGTCTCTCCACAAAACATAACTTTAAAAAATTGTTCTGATTTTCCAGAATGATCACAGTGAATTTGATGGGGGTTTCTGGAGACAGTTAATAAGTAATGAATATTTACTCATTTGTATTTTAACAGTAAAATGTTCTAATCAACTGTTTTTTTTTTCTGCATTTGTTTTATTGAAAAACAACCACAGGACTTTCTCAGGCTAAACAACTAGGATTGGAGGTGTTCCATGCGGGCACGGCCCTAAAGGATGGCAGAGTGGTGACTAATGGAGGAAGAGTCCTTACAGTAACTGCTATTAAAGAGGATCTCATCACAGCACTGCAAGAAGCCAACAAAGGAATAGCAGCCATACATTTCAAGGGTGCCACTTATAGAAAGGACATTGGTTATCGGGCAATAGCTTTCCTGAGACATTCCAGGTAGATATCTGAAATGCTTGAAATGAAAATAACTGCTGGCTGAAAGACGTCACTAGTTTACCTTAATACCTAAACTGATGTTGTTATTATGCATAACTCTAGACAAATTATAACTGGCATCCTTGTGAGTGATCTCAGCAAGACCAGCCAAGGAAGGAACAAACTTTTTGATGGCTCTTTCATCCATGATCTGATTCTCCTTAGTCTGAGCTAAACTACAGTGACAGGCACATAGGAGTAACTTGTGCTGTTTCTGTCCGTATTAGATCTGTTTTGGGGAAGGAGAACTTCTGATGCTTAGATGGTAAACCATAACCTTTGCTCTAAATTCAGACCGTCCGTAAGTCTAATACTAGTATCATGAAATGTATGTATTAACAGAGTTTGAGCTGGTTTTTGGTTCATTTTAGGGTCTTTAAGAATGGGTATTTAAAATGGTTTTGAAACACCTACCTCAATGGGATATGCATTATAATGGAGTAGCTGGCTAGCAGCCTGGGTAGAATTTATCATTCCTTTTTATTATTATTCCTTTTATTTTCGTACTATTAAGTTTTAACAGTCTTGAGAGGGCTTTTTTTTTTTTTTAATGCCGTGTGCCCTACTGTTTCTCTGTGTTTTTGAGAGCTTCTTACAAGCTTTGAAACGTATTTTTACCTAGTATAAAACATATCTGTTTGCCTTTTCCCTAATCAGTTCAAAACATAACTTTTGATAATAGGTTATTTTGTAGTCTATGAAGCATATTAGTAAGAGTTTCAGCTTTGCTGACAGTGTATATTGATTAGTATATTGTAAAGCTATAATCAATAAACTTACTCAATGAACAAGGGCATTGATATCTAGTCTTCTTTCTCTTTCAAGTACTGTGCATCTTTTGAGAAACATATGTGAAAATGTATAATTGGTATTTGTACTGTAGCAGAAAAAATCAAGTCATTATGTGAGGCAAGAGAAGAAGGTACTTTAATGAATAGTGATGCATGGTTCTCTAAAGCATTGAATTCACGGGACATGGTCAGCAGGTTTCTTGACGGGAGTGCAGAATGCTGGGATGCTCCGTAACATATGAAGGAGACTCCTGGGAGCCTTTTACAGTTAGTGCCCGTTTCACTTTCCCTGAGGCTGTACCAGCTTTTGCTCAGACGTATCCTAAAATCGGAAGAACACACAGTTCAGGGAGGTTGATGGTTGGCTCTGTAAACTTGGGGACACATCTCCTCTTGGCACGTTCACAGGATTAAGTCCTATGCATTTCACTTTGGGAAAATATCCAGTATATTTATTTAAGAAAAAATATTTACGAGCAATACTTTCCTTTTAAAGAACTAATGCAGATATTATGCTTTTAAAAAGAAAGTGAAAATATGTTGAATATTAATCGTATTCAGACTGGAAGGGTCTCACTCCAGCCTCTTGCTTTCACAGGCTAACATTTCTTTGAGTCTTGTTCACAGATTGACCAACTGCTTCTTAAAATTATTTTCTTCTTGCAAATTTTTGAGCAGTAATGTAATGTGTGTGCAGATATCTCTGTACTTTCCTGATAGCGCAGCTATTTGACCAGCTGTTTTGTAGTAGCTGCCTTTGTTAATGGTGTGCTTCACCTTTAGAATTAAAACTAATCCTGAATCACATCAGTAAGAGAGCTAAAATAGCCATAACGTAGCTTGGTTCATGCCATTGATGGTACAGGAATAATGACTGCTTAACTGGAATCAGGTTCATTTGGTACAACTAAGAATTAAAAGTCGCTAAATTCACTATCTCAGAAGTGAAAAGGTTCCTCTGTGAATATGGGGCGATACTTTATGTCCCCACACAGTTGCGTGAACACGCTTAGAATGCAAATTATATCCACCAATTCACTGGTGTGCTTTCTGTTTTGTGTAACTGTATGCAAAACCGAACCAGAGCTCTTGGACATTTCTTTCTAGTTTGCTACATTGGACCTTAGAAATTGATGTTTTTAAATATTAGGTTTTTAAAAATATTTTAGCAGAAAGTCAATAGAGGTAGAAAAGAGGTACAATTGGTTTTGTGGTGCTATCATTCAAGGTGATAAAGAGAGGCAAGCTTTAAGCTACAGTTTTAAAACTTTTTAAGTATCATAGAGGAATACTGATTTCTGCGATACTTCTGTTTTGAAAAGCTAATTTGAGCTTGATCCTGCAAGGTGCTGAGATGTTCTGATTTACATTGTCTGTGTACATTTAATTTTGAATATAGGAACAGTGCTGTGGAGGCTTGGGTGTCCAGAGGAGATTCTGAAACCTTGAAGAATCAAACCCATTATTCTACCTGTCTTACAGGAAAAATTTTTTTTTTAATCATTGTATTTGACAGGGATAGCCAGAGCAGTGATGCTGATGCTCTTACGCTGCCTTTGAGATATCTGAAAACATTTGACTACTGCTCATGGCAAACTCTCTGTGGTTCAAATCCATGAAGTTTTGTTTCTTCAGGATAGTACTCCCTATCTTTGGGTCTATGTGTGAGGTCAGGTTCTAAGCAGCAAAAAGGTTGACCTTTGAATCCTTGAGCCTGCCTGAAATGTGTGATCTATCTGATTTATTGATTTTTACTATTAATCAATACCATGTAATGCTTGTACAGTACTGCAGTAATTAGAAATCATTTTTATGAGCAAAGGGACTGTACAAGTAGGAAACTAATGGTCTTGACAGCAGAATAGGATTCTGAATGGTTAATCCCCTTAGGGATGCAAGAAAATAAATATTATTTTAAAGTGTAGATTTGTATATTCAGTAATCAATTGCCATAACATTTTAATCTTTCAGAGGCCTGACTTACAAAAACAGTGGGGTAGACATCGCAGCAGGGAATACTTTGGTTCAGAAAATTAAACCCCTAGCTGCAGCCACATCAAGGTCAGGTAAGATTTGTTCCTTTTATTCCTCTTTCAGTCAGTTCATGGCAAGTAGGCTTATCGCTTAATCTTTATGTTGATATAAATGCTTATATTTATGTGCTCTGCGCATTTCCAGATTATGCAAGAATTTGCTGGGTTAAGCATACACCCTTGACTTCTTCAAAATGTAGTTCCTTAAATTTACAGAGTTGCTTGTCAAAATGGCTCTAAAACGTATCTCCTGAATTCCACGTGCACTAAGGACATTAGAGAATACAGTTCAGCACTCTAAAAGGATAAATACAAGGGAAAATCCTGCTGCTTACTGCTGTTTTTCATTACATGGGTTGTCAGTTCTTGCACAGAACGTGCTGTACGATTTTTGTACATAAACGTTTAGAAAGCTGTAGAAGAGGTAGAATTCCTCGGAGATACTATCAGGAATTACTTGAGCTAGACATGGAAGACGCACCTTTGCTTGGATAAAACAGGACCAGCCCTTCCTCTTTTGCTGTGGTCTCGGGCATATCTTGCTCTAGCAAGTCTTTGTAATTCTTACGATAGGTTTAGAACACCAGTCATTTTTTAAGTAACCCTTTTACTTCAGATTAACTGAGAACCTTCAAATAACGTCAGATACGTGTAGAGAGAGAAATATGTATCAATAAACATGCACACTAGCACCACTAATCATGTCTTGACTTTCATTGTATTTTCCACTCATGTTTGTTTCACTCTTAGGAGTCAACCAATTTTAGTTTTAAGATTAGCATACTTAAATCTTAAGAACAGAGAGTCTTATTTATATACCATAAGTAGCAGTATTAACAAAGAGAAAGGATTTCAGTAGGAAAATGTCTAGTTATCACCTTCTCCTAGAAAGTAGTGGGCTTCAAAGTATTACAACAATTCCTTGTCTGTTTTTCAGAAAAATGTTAAGTGCGAGGGTGAAACATATCCATCGCAGTAATTATTCGATGTTCAATCACAAAGCTTTGGAATTTTAGCCTCAGATAATGATAAGAAAAAACCAGACAAGAGGATTAGGAACTCCTGTGGCTCTGTGATGAGGCCCTAAATGTCAGAGGAAAGTTTCCTGGTGGCAAAGCAAAGTAATTGTGACAGACTTCAGAAAGAATTTCACTCGTGTTTTGGCGATCCTCGTTTCTACCCATGAAAGCAGAAGTTTAGTACTTTCTTCTTTTTCCGGCTGGCAGGCTGCAATGCGGAACTTGGAGGATTTGCTGGCCTCTTTGATTTGAAAGCAGCTGGTTACAAAGATCCTATCTTGGTATCTGGAACTGATGGTGTTGGCACAAAACTCAAGGTAATCTGAAAACCCGTGTAAAGCAAGAAACATAGCAGAGAAGCAAAAATGCTTAATCACATCGGTGCCCATGTTATTAATAGAAGATAATTCAAAATAGGTGTTGTGTTAAAAGACACCCATTAGTATGTCAAAAAAGGGAATAAAAAATGAGATTGCCCTCCTTCAGGTGTCAGTTCAGCAGAATAATTAAATATATGTTTAACTTTCAGCATGTGACTATCCCTGTTTGAAATGATGTTTAAAATTACTCATTTTTAATATTAAGTACATAATCAGGGACTCCACTGAGGTAGAATCTCTGTCCTCAAAAAAGTTACTCATGGGAAAACCATTAAATTATACAGTTGCTACTGTGTTTATACACACTGCAGTGAAACTCCTTCCGGTTCAGTCCCCTTCCATAAAGGGCCTTTTGTCCTTGCCAATTAAGAAGGGAACAATTCCTAAAATAAAATTTTAGGACAGGCTCACAGAGATGATAATAGCTGAGGATGCGTCTCAGAAAGCACCTAGAATAACAGCGTGATTTTGATGCCGTTCCGCGGCAGACTCTCTGCGCTCGTGTTCCAGTTTCTCAGAGCTAACAAACGGGCTCTCTCGCTGTGTTTTGCAGATCGCACAAGTGTGTAAGAAACATGACACCATAGGTCAGGACCTGGTTGCCATGTGTGTCAATGACATCCTGGCTCAAGGAGCAGAGCCCCTCTTCTTCCTTGACTATTTTGCCTGTGGTAAACTTGATGTTGAAGTGGCTCAGGGTGTCATTGCAGGAATAGCCGAAGCTTGCAAAAAGGCAGGATGTGCTCTGTTGGGTATGAACGCTCTCTTTCTTTGAACGATGTGAAAAACTGCATGCAGCCTCTTTATAACTAGTTTTAATGTGTTTGTCTTCCTACTCTATTTAAAGATTCTCAGAGAAGTTAAAAAAAACTTAACACGTGTTTTTGCCTTCAGAGAACATAGTCCCAACCCACTGGAAGAAGGCAGTACTTTACAGATGTTGCCATTAGCTCAGGAATCTGCCTATTACTTTTCTTATTCGTATATTTTCATTCAACTTTGTAAATATAACAACTACCCAGAAAACTAACAATTCATGTGTTCTAACTCTTTGTATTTTTCAAGTAAATTTTTAAACATTTCAGAAGGTTGTTTTATCTGTTATCCTAAAGGAAATCCGAAAGCTTTCCCCTAGAAACAAGATTTGCATGTGTTACTGTGCATGTGCACGTGTGTGTCCCTGTGTGCGTGCATATTATCTTTTGAACTTCTTGGTTGATTTTAACCAAATTTGACAGGGAAGGTAGAGATTGCATAGAAATTGCATTCCCACAAGTGTTATGAAACTAGACAGCCAGAGAATGTCCTTATGAATGCAGGAAAAGCTTTAGCTGGAGCTTGCTGCTGCTTTAGACATAAAAGGTAACCACAAGACAGAAATGTAAAGGAAACCAGGTTTCATTAGTTACAGTCCTCGGAAAACTATTTGTCTGATGAAGACTCGCTGAAGATTTGTTTCACCGAAACCAGCATATTCCAGTATGTTAAGACTCAAATTTGAGCATTTTCCTTTCCCGATAATACAGCTGCATAATACATTTTACTCATAAATTAGAAATGTATTCTGGTATACAATGATCTAGTTATCCGTGAAAATAATACAATAATGCACTTGTGAAGCTTAAAAAATATAACTTTAAAATGGTCCAACTCAATGAAAATATTTCTAGGTCAGTGAAAAAAGATAATTTTGTATAAATCTTTAGTTTATAAAAGGACTACAACACAGATGTAAGTTTTAAAGCTATGAAACCGATAAAATTCAGTTTACTCCGTTTGATTTTTTTCTCCTCTTTTGTAAAAAACATATTTGTGGAATTACCATAATTTTTCAAAATGACTTTTCATCCAAGAGTAAAAATGAGTGTTCAAATATCTTGCTCTTTAGCAACCTTCCAGTTTAAAATCGGTCCGACTGTAACTTTGTCCTCTTTTTTTCCTTCTTCTTTAAGAAATTTAGTAACAAACTCTATTCTAAATGGGAATGTCTTATTTTGAAGGAATTTTACAAAATTTGAACAAGAGGCAACTTACATTTTGTTTTAATTTTTTTCTGCGTGAACTGTTTGTCAGCTTTATATTTGCCTTAAGATGTTCTCTCAGTTTATTGAATATAATCAGACCGTTCATACTTTAACATAAGTACATTTCATGTAATGTCTTACTATGAAATTACTTACTGAAACTTCAAGATTTTATTTCCCATTGGAAAGCTTTAAAACTACAGAGGACTACAAAAGTCAGAACTCATAAATGAAGCAACCATGATTTGTTCTTCAAATTTATGGCACTCCCAGAAAGGAACAGAGATGATGCAATAACTCCAGACCTAAGGAGGAAACATTTTATTGTAGCCTGGAGCATTAAAATAGATTTCAGTTTGTTCTCCAGCTTAACGCATTAATTTCACCGGGCAAGTCTATCCTTGTATAGTATCATCGCATCAAAGTCTTGTTTGAAGCATGCTCCTAAATTCTTGTCTTGTGTATCTACAGTAGCAGAATATGCAGCTCGACCACCGTAAGCTCACACCGCTTAACAGTGAGGTACTGAAGGGCTTATCTACGTGCTTGGTTTTGCACCAGTGTGACTAAATACAGTTCTAAACCAATGTATCTAAGCAAATACCACCTTTTCATATGAACTTTGCTTTTAAAGTTGGTTATAGCAATGTAATGTAGAAACCTGGGAAAGGTTCCAAAGAGTTAAATCTTCCCCCTAGCACTGAGCACAAAGGCAGCTTCCCAGATTACTCAGGTAGACTTGGAGCTCCTCCAGGGAGACTTTTTTTGAAACAGATGAGTTCTGTATTGAATGAAGGCTGGTGAGTGCAAAGGAAAAACAAGACAGCACTGGTCCGCCTGTTGGGCAGAGGTCATAACATAACGGCAACTTAATCATTGTCAAGTTGTTGCCTGTGGGCATCATGACTAGCGGGGAATCTGAAGGAGAATAACGATGTAGCTTTGAGGATAGCTGGGGAGGGTTTCTTGCAGGTATGAGGGGAAAGTGTGGAGATGCCTGTTTGAAAAACTTCAGGGTGGGCAATAAACGCTGATTTAATTTGCCAAACACAGCCAGATCCCCTCTGCAGACTGAATGAGACAGAACAGGTAGAACAGAGGCCTTGAGAAGTGAAGACCATCAGCTTATACCTGCTAAGACAGAGGAAGGGAGCCAGTGCTGGGTGCATAGAGAGAGATAATGCTATCTGAGCAAAGTTACGGATTCCTACGCAAACTAGGAAAATTACCATTTCAAACTGCATTCTGAATGAAGTCAGCAGGACAAAACATGTTTTTCAGGACAAAGCAAGTCGATGTTCTAATAATCAGGATGTAAGATGATAGCCTAGACAACAAGTTCAGCTGCATGGATGGGTAGGAAAGGCCCTCTAATTTTAGAGGTGTTCTGCCAAAACGATCTGAACACCTTAGATGTTGAGACCTGAGGTGGTAATGATGCCCAGGTCGTGGACATGACTAGCAGGCAGAACAGTGGTATATACAAAATCTTGATGAAGGCAAGTGAGACTACTAACTGTTTTGTGCCTCTGATGTCCTTGTATGAGTTTCTTGTGTCTTGTGGCTTTCTCATGGAGAATGTTAAGCTTGGTAGAAATTTGAAAATAGGAAGCACTACATAAATGCTTTTATTTTAAAGGCATGGATCATGTTTACCTCCTGAGCACAGAATTCCAGTGCAGTCTTAGGGCTCAGATACTTACTAGGACAGAAACCGTAATATTTGATCAATATCAGAGTCCTTCAAAAAAATCCTATGTGTAAACATGGATGCACAGTAATTTGATACTGGTTGTCACAGTGAGGGAGGAAATGTTATTTCCCAGTTTGCTACTGCCTGTTCACTGGAAAGATGTGTGTCACATGTGTGATTTTAATTATTTTTAATATTTGTATATCTAATTAAAAAATCTAGTCCATTAACTCCTTAGGTGTCTGAAGCTTTGATAAATGATATGCACATTAATTCCGGTGGTTTTCCAACACCTCTTTTCCCTTTCTTTTGGTTCTCACAGGAGGAGAAACTGCTGAAATGCCAGGCATGTATCCACCTGGAGAATATGACTTGGCTGGCTTTGCCGTTGGCGCAGTGGAACGAGGGCAGATGCTGCCCCAGCTGGACAGAATTGCTGATGGGGATATAGTTATTGGAATAGCTTCTTCCGGGGTTCACAGCAATGGATTTAGCCTCGTAAGGAAGATTGTTGAAAAGTCATCGTTAGATTTCTCCTCTCCAGTTGGCATTTCTGGTGATCAGACTTTAGGTACTGCTTCTAATACAGTTTCTTCCTTTGAACTTCTGAGCAGGTGTATGTCACACTATTGTTTTGTCTGTGCCTTTGGTTTTTTTTTTTGTTTTTTGTAAGTTTTCTAAGGCACTAAAAATTTATTCCATTCCTGAAGATGTTCTCATTTTCCCTTTTCCCGTGAATCAAATATGCCAGAAAGAAATTAGGGAGGGAAAAATAAATAACTAATTGTATGCTGCAAGAGGCAGACGTTGTCTTTTTCTCTGTAATAAAATGCTTGCCCATTAGTATCCAGTAAATTAATATTTTGAGATTTCCTTGATTTGATATTGATTAACATTTCTTTCTGTGTTGTAACTGGTCTTTTTTCATCCTCCTTCATCTACAGGCGAGCTCTTGTTAACCCCAACTAGGATCTACAGCAAGACCCTGTTGCCTGTCCTTCGCTCAGGCCACGTGAAAGCCTGTGCCCACATCACTGGAGGGGGCTTGCTGGAAAACATCCCCAGAGTTCTGCCAGAGTCATTTGGTGTCGTTTTAGGTGAGATATAGAAAGGGATGCTGTACAAACATGCACATGTTAATAGGGATGGGTATGGAAGCCTGCGTACATCATGCCATATGAACTGAGTTACACTGCAAGAGGTGGACTTGCCTGTCTAGAAATCAGTTTGCTTTTTTTACTTCATTATTATTGAATTTCTCCTTGCGCCTGAAACAGGAGCCAGTTGAAACATTTCAGAGTCACTTCCTCTGATGGCGTTTTGGGTTACATTTGTTAGGAAACTATATGTGTACTTTCAAAACTGAAACAAAGTAAAATGGTACCATTTGCAGTATCCTGCAAGATTATTGCTATTTAAATCACACTCATGGATTTGATTGGCATTCAGATATAGTTAGTAGCTCACAAGTTATGAGGATATCAAGGTATTCTGCGTACTTTAATTAATCCTCACCACAACCTCATCAGGTAGGTTGGAAATAGTATCTAATTGCTCATGGAGAAAGGTAAATATGGAAAGGTAAGTGACCTACTATAGGTTATACAGTGTTCATTGGGTTGTAGAATAAAATAAGGGAACTGCTATCAAGTCCAGTGCTTCATATAGTAAATCATGTTTCCACCTGTCAGTTAGACGGGGATCCAGAGTGGATACCTGCATATAAAAATGAGGATAATACCACAAGAAAGAAATTACTGTCTTTGGAGTTCCGTTAACACTGGCTTGTCCTGAAGTATTTCTCGTGCTGCTTTAGGTCATCCTTACCTTGTCAGAACTGGGAGAAGTGCTCTATATTGCGAGAGTTAAGGCAGTCCTTGTACAGTAGTTTCTCTGCAAGCGGAGTCGTCAACTTCAGGAAGAGGATTTTCCAAAGACAGCTTCAGAGCCCATTTTGAATTACTCATGAATGGATTGCAGTGGAGCAATATGATTAATTTCTTCCATGAGTGGCACTTATTTCTACTCCCAAGTCTTGTTTAGTACAGAAGGAAAAGACATCTTGTTTTCATGATGGAGGCAGGTTCAACTGGCGCTGATGCTGCTGTGGGACTTAAAGTCTGTGTTTGCATCGAGGTCTTGTCTCTTGACACTCTAATAATTTTCGTATTTGTGCACAGAGAGTGATTTTCACTCTTCACTTGTATTTTCAATTCTCTTCAGATGCTCTTAGTTGGAAGATTCCTGAAATCTTTAGCTGGCTCCATAAAGAAGGGAATCTCTCTGAGGAGGAGATGGCTCGGACATTTAATTGCGGGATTGGCACAGTGTTGGTGGTACAGAAGGAGCTGGCTCAGCAGGTTCTCAAGGACATACAGAGACACGAGGCGGCCTGGCTGATCGGGAAAGTTGTCTCCTTACAAAAAGGTTACTAGAATTTTATTTTCCTTGAAAAACTGTAGAGCTAAATTCCTTATCTGGTGAGTCTCCAGCGTTGGCACCTCCATGGCTTTTGTCCATAAGGTATTAAAATGACAGTCCTGGAGACTTCTGTCTTAGTCTGTCAAATATGTCAGATGTCACATGACAAGAAGTAAAGCAATGCCACTAGTCAGTCTTTTCGTGGATACTTTTCTGTCCTCTGTATTTCTCCCTTTATTTAAATGTGTTTTTTTGTCTTTTATGCGTTCAGGCTCTGCCCATGTTAAAGTCCATAATCTGCTTCAAGCCTTGCAAACAAATAGGTCACTGACTGTGCACAGCCATATCCAAGGCAAAATCCAAACAAACAAAGTGAAGGTTGCTGTCCTTATCTCTGGAACAGGTGAGAGTTTATATTCTTCACTACAACATACATCACAGACTATTGAAAATGGGGCTCCAACTCAGAATCAAAATGTCTGGAAGTCTTTGCAAGTCTCCACGGAGACTTTGATGAGCTTCCTACAGGCTTTTAAAGCTCAGTAACAGGCAGAATAGATTTTGCCCTCAGGTTAATTTCAATCAGAAACAGAATGATCTTCATCCTGTGCTGCAAATTGACTATGAATTGCATCTCTGTTCTTTTTATCTACTAATTTCTGCATGTCTCTAGGTTCAAGCAACCGTTGCATTGGATTATAGGGAGAGCAGAACAATCTTACTAACAGACCAGAATTTCCTCTTGCCATATCGGCACTCCCAGAATTTCCAGCATTCTCACATGTAAGAAATAGACTGTAATTTCTATTCCAGAAATTACAGTTTACAAATGTAATTGCTAGTAAAAGCCCTGTAGCTCTCGCATAGTCTCCAGGTGTCAAATTCACTTTTCAGAAAGATCAATGAAAAAAGTATTACTGTTGTTGCAGTGTTTTTTGGATTGGGTCTCACCTACATTGCTGCTTATTTGAAACCTCTTCTGATTGTTAACTATATTTATTCTCCAGGAATGACTCGATATTCATGACTTATTTTTTCACTTATAGGCACAAACCTGGAAGCCCTCATAAACAGCACAAAGAAGCCCACCAGTTTCGCACAAATAGTTCTTGTTGTTTCTAACAAAGCTGGTGTGGAGGGGCTAAAGAAAGCTGAAAGAGCTGGTATTCCTACAAGGGTAAGTATTTCTCACCTTTTAAAAATTAGCCTTCATTAGCTGTGATTACAGCAGTAAGGTATTGTGAGATTGTAAGATTTGCTAGCGTAAGAGATGATTTGAAAAGAGGTCTTATTGGTATTTTATTTTTTGGTCTGTCATAAACTTTGTGTCCTTGGGCAAGTTACTTAATATGGAAACAAAATACTTGCTTTTCTTCCCCTCAGAGATGTTACTTGCAATCCTAATGGTTTGGGGATCAGTTACTATATTAAACCAGTTGCAAAACTTTTACAGTTCCAGTTTAAAATTTGTCATTTATTTAACCGTAGTGCATTTGTACTAAAATAATGATATATTTTATCTGAATTTAAATTTAAAATTACATGCTAAACATACACAGTAGTTCATTTGAATGAAATGGAGATGTCAGGTGCAACACTTCAAACTCATCTCTCCAGGATTCATTCAAGCCAAAGTGTGTTTCCCTTAATGTCACTGGGTCCAGTTTGATACTGCTATGCCCTCTGTGTAGCTATTTGCATTACAGGCATGAAATGCTACTGTTCTGACTTAGGATCATTTTCCACTCACTTTTCATGGATAACTAAAAATGGTGTGGAAGATTTGGGTCCAATGCAAGCTTTGCTATAAATTTAAATAGCAGCAGTATCTGATTGTTAGCAGTGCTCTCTGTTATTTGGGAGCATACAGAGATCGCAACTAAAACATAGCCATGGTATGCCGGTAAAGTACAAACATATAGTGAGAAAAAAAATCTCAGTCTTGGAGAGCTGACAGTCTCAGTGATTGGGAGGGAGAGGGAGTGGTGAAACAGAGGCACTGAGTAGTGAAACGCCTTGCAATAGTCTGGAGCAGAGTAGTTCATAGGAGAGTTCAGGCCAGTGTTGAGCTAGGCTATATTTTCAGTGCACGCTGTCATATTTTCTGCTAGCTCCAGTTTTTCAAAACTACTTTGTGGTATTTAAGTGTTGCTAACATGGTAAGTCTTGCAGAGATTGACAAGATACTTTTATTTAAAGGCTATGCATGTTTTAAGTAAGAAGCATATTATTATTCCTGAGAAGCTTATTCCTGCTTAAAATCGGGAATGTATGCTGAATGGGAAATATATAACTTGCTTATATTGACTTTTTGCAGCTGGGGCTATTTTATAATATAAATTTAGGAAAGGTTCAAACTATTTCAAACAGTCGGAGGCCTTAAATTGAGTGAAATCATTCTCAGACTTTAGGTTATCTTAAGGGCTTCCTGTATTTGTAGGTTGTTAAAATGCGTCCAAATGCTTGGGCCTACAAGTACAGGCCCATTCAGATAAAACTCTTATTTATTCTAGTGACTGTTCTGTGTTAAGATGAATAAAAACTGCAGGTTTGTCTGCTAGCGTATGCATTGATGATCTGCTCATGTTGTTATGTTTGTGCACCCCGCTCTAGCCACATGCGAAGATTTAGTTGTTTCTTGTTTATCACTCTAGTGTACCATTTCACTGTGTTCTTAAGGCCTCGAGATTAAATTAACCCCTATCCCTATTTCTTCCTTTTTTGGATTATCGCAGGTTATTGACCATAAATTGTATGAAAGTCGCACAGAATTTGACAATGCAGTTGACAAAGTCCTTGAAGAGTTCTCAGTTGAACTGATCTGTCTTGCTGGATTTATGCGAATACTGTCTGGTCCTTTTGTCAAAAAATGGGATGGTAAGGACAGTTAATGTATGCATAACAAAGCAATTTTATAGCACACTCTCAGGAAAAAAGAAAATGGGGGATATTATAGAATAGGAACCATATTAATTCTGGGTTTGTAAGAAACTGAACTCTTCCCATCCTGCAAGGAAAGGGATGAGAAGAGGAAAGCCAGTATTTTTCCCTTTCCTTTATCATTTCCAGAGAAGTTCGAGGAAGCCAAGGTCAAAAGCAGATCTTGTGATCTTTGATTTATTAGAAAATTTTGTAAAGTAGGGCTATGAAAACTTTTGACCTCTACAAACATGCAGGGCAAATTGTTGCCTAAGGAGTAAGTGCTGGTAGTGGGCAGGTGAACATCCAGCCACTGAGAAATTCTTCCTCTAAGAGATGAGGTTCACTGGCTGCATGTAAAAGTGCAAAAGTAAGCAGTGATATGCAGTTCCTGTTAACAAGATCTCACCAGTCTTTTGGTTAGGTGTCCTGGGAGCTGTGTGAAGCTGGGGGTGGCATATTTCACAGGCAGATTCAGCTCTTGTTCATGGGAAGTGCTCGTAAGGTCTCCGTTCTGATCACCCTGTATAATTTAGCCAGTTCTTTGTTAGAGGCTGTAACACCTCTGCCTACTTCCATGGTTGCTCTTCCTCCCCCAGCTGTAACATTCCCTTTCTTATCTCCTTCTGTCTTGTTCAGGGAGTTTTGAATCACCCAGAAGCAGCTGCTCCTCTCACTATTAGCTCAAGTTTGGGTTCAGTCGCGGTTACTTATGCTAGTTATTGCTCTTACCAGTTACAGGCTGGGCTGTCTCCAGGCAACATTTATTGTTCACGCCGTGACTTTTGTGTTACCCTGGGTGTGTCTACAACACAGACCTTTTACACCTGTGCTAATTCTCCAACCTTTCTTTATAATCAGTGGAGCAAAACAGGCGTTTCTAGGAGGCAATTCATTTTACACTAAAGCTGTCAACTAAAGTAAGTCAAATGAATTTTGCTCCTTTCTCTCCATTCATTACGGAGTCTGGAAGACTGAGATGTAAATGGCTGCATTCCAGACAGCTGTAGTTAGGAGAGAGGAATCCCCCACTATGTTAGAGACGTCTTTCAGGTGGAGTATCTGTGCAGAGGATGGAGGAGAACTTTCTCTAGCGCAGAAATCTTGTGCAAATAAAGCATGAGTGTAGTTTCCTCTGATTTATGGATAAAATCAGTGTGGGATTCCAGCTCTGATGCAGCACGGTGCAGGGCTTGCAGTATACATGGCCTGAGGGCAAGAGAGAGCACTTTCTTCCAATGCAGGATATCTGCACTAATTCATTTAAAAATATTCAGCACCAAACTGAATTTGAAAACAGGTCTGACCTTAGGTCTGACCGAGAATATCCTTCAGTGAGGTCTTAGATGTGTGCTCAGACATCCAGTTCATCTCAGGGATCTGCACCAGCTAATGGGAGTCTGCCATAAGACTCTGACCCATCAGCGTGTGTTGGCACTGACTAGCCCAAATTGACCTGACTGCCTAGGGAAAATTGATTCTTGTGCTGCTCTCAAAAACTTTTTACATTCCTTTCTCCCACAGTCACAGGGACATGGAGAGCAAAGTTAGTTGTGAAACTCGTTTTCTTGCTCTACGGCCCTGAAATGTTAATTCTGAACCGAAATATAAAGGATATTTTAAAACAGCTCCATCTTCCTTTAGTGCAGTTGCTGATGGTACTGTAATGAGGAGCTAGAGAAACACAGACAGAAGTACAGAGTGTCATTTTCACCTTTCCGTCCCCAATACTTTTTTGCTCAGGCAGCAAGGAAGGATATGCTGATGCTTTAAAAGGGGTATTTTGGGCCAAAACACATTAGAGCTATTGTTGAAGATCAGTTGAGACATTTGCCTCTTTAAGCTGTGCAGGTCACTATCCGTATGCGTTACTGCAGTGGAAGTGCAGGGTTATGCGCGGTGCTCTCAGACGTGGCCTTCACTTCACGTTACGAAATCATTTGTCTCTATTTCAGGACACTGCTGCCTCCGCCAGCATACGTCAGCTCAGTCTTACTGCTTGGCATTTAAATGGTGTTCAGTGAATCCTGATGACATATAGTCTCCCTAAACAGGAGGCACTTAGAGACAGTGTGGGTGTACCTTGCTGTGGTATAAATAGTACCGATAGTCACTTTTTTTTTTTTTTTTTATCCCATAAGGGTTTATACTGAAACTAAAGGAAGATCTAGCACTGTTAAGCACCTTTACTTCACTGACTTCAGTCTGGCCAAACTTTCCAGGGTGAGTTGTCACAGACATATCAGGAACAGACAGGGGAAGTATACCAGGAGAAAGAAAGTATCCTGATGGTGCAACTATAGCATTGCTATAATGGTGATGAGATCCTGAGGTCATTGACAGCTGCTCTCTCCTACTTTAAAGCTAGCTAGGAACTAAGGCATATGCTTTCTCTTTTACAGGAAAGGTAAGGTATAGGCTTCCCAGGGTTGTAACAACAGACCCACCTGGCTGAGCATTAAAGGTAACATTAGCAACTTCAGGATCTCCCAGCCAACTTTTCACATGGAAGGAAGTAGTGGTAGTTTTGAGGAGGGGCAGAGAGAAGGGCTCGTAGATGAGCAGCTGTTGTCTTTTATTAATCCAAAACAGGTGTGGAGGAAAAGTCTAGGGAGAATTTTTGTCTTCTCACAGGAGTCTGTTACATCATTTGAAACTGCACTAAGTTGCTCCTGGGTATTGAGTGTTGTAAGAAAGAGTGTGTGCTTGTGATCAAAAAAGAGAAGAACAAGATTCTGAGGAAAAGGACTACATTAAAAAAATTGTAATTGGTCACTGGATGAGTATGCTTTAGCCATGCAATTAATTGTAATTGATTGTTGTCTTTGATTTTCGGAAACTGAGAAATTCTGACATGCTTTGGTCTGGTTATCTGTCAGTAGCATTAACTGACTTTCACAATGCTTACTTTCTAATGTTAAAAAAAGCTTTTTTCCAACAAATTGTCCTCTAATGATTATGATACTTCAAACACTCTGGTAAAGCTGCGTGATAAAAGGCAATGACCTCATTTATTCTTTTCTAGGGAAAATACTGAACATCCACCCATCTCTACTACCTTCTTTTAAGGGAGCAAACGCCCACAAATTGGTGTTACAAGCTGGAGTCCGAGTCACAGGCTGTACTGTACACTTTGTAGCTGTAAGTACTTTTTTTCTCTCCCTTCGGAGTCAACCAGTCTTAAAAATTTTCACCTCAAAGTTTGTTTGGAACACCTGTGCTATGATGTTTGATACGTTTTCACCTTTGTTCACTTATAAAATGATTAGGCTCATATTGACCATATGGTGCTCGTTTGCTGTACTTATAGAGAGAACTGGAAGTGAATAGACTAGATGGGAGTTTAAGCTTTACCGTAGTTAACTTCTTCCCTAAAGTATCCCACTGCTGCTGTTCCACCAGTTGTAGGGAGTACCAGTTCATGTAAGGCATTGGCTAACCCCAAAATCTTTATTACTACACAGCACCAACTTCTTAGTATCGTTCATCCTCCTTTCCATATTGGTTGCACTAGAAGTGGCACAAGAAGCTTAGCATTAAGAACTGATCCCCTGTTTGTGGGAACAGAGAAAGGCTTTACAATTTATGTAAGCCAAGAAACTGAGAAAACAGAAGCCAAAGATCTCCCAACTTGGAAAATAAGCATTTTTTTCCATATTGTTTAGTTCTCAGAATTGGCTGTAACTAGTCTCCCATCCTCAACTCCGTTCTTGAGATTATCCTCCCCTTTTCCACTGCTTCTGAAATCTGTTCTCATGACTTTTGCTTTCTCTTGGAAAAAGACAAAACTGTATTTTTCAAGATAGAAAAAGTACGTGCCTTTCTCCATAACGTGACTTACGGTTTCTTCACTGTGTGGCAATGTATTGAGAAGCAATAACTAAACAGGAGGGATCTGCCTCATTAGCATGCAAAAGAAAGATTTGCCGGGTCCTCTCGGCCAGCTCTGTGCCAAAGCTGGCTAATTCACTGTGCTGAACTGAAATGTCAGCATTTTGTCCCATTTAGCCTCTCATATTCCCAGTTAACACGGCTTTTGTTGATTTCTATAATAGAAATGCTAGACTGTCTGCTGTTCTGCCTACCTCCTCCTTGAGAATTTGCACTTCTGTTAATTCCTCACAGGCCAATGAGTGTGTCAGTGTCTTTCTGCATTCTTCACACTAGCCCAACTTCATATTTCCTGTAATAACGGAAAGGTAAACAGATCCCTCAACCAGCTGGATTACATTAATTGCCATATATCCATGCCCATCTCACTCCTCTTTCAACCATGCAGACTTTCTGGCTATTGCTTTTACAGGAGGAAGTTGATGCTGGTGCTATCATTTTCCAAGAGGCAGTTCCAGTGAAGATTGGTGACACGGTGGAGACCCTGTCAGAAAGGGTGAAGGAGGCCGAGCACCGAGCCTTCCCCGCTGCCCTGCAGCTTGTTGCCAGCGGAGCCGTCCGGGTGGGGGAAGCTGGCAAGATCTGCTGGAAGTAGGAGCAGCACCCCAGCAAAGGTCCTCAGGTGGGACAACTGGCGTGCATTAACCGATCAAAACAGAGGTCACAACCTAATGCGCACACTGCGTTCTCTTCAACAAGTGCTTTAAATGTAGAATTTATCATGTCCCGATCTTGTTCGAATCCTTAAAAGATTCACAGTAAAACCTAGAGAAAGCCACAAGACGGGACAGCAGGCAGGGGACCATGCTCAGTACTTTTAACTATGGCTCTATTACCACCTTCCTAATTATAATCAATTCCTTTGCCAACATTTAAGTTCTCAATTACTTTAACAAACAAAACTCCTTCAGCTGGTCACAGGGAGATCTGAGCATCTTTTGAGATTGACTTAGGAACATCAGTACTACTCTGTAAATTGATTATACGAATCGTACCAGGGGACTCTGTTGTCATATGCTGTGTGAAGTGTTTGTAAGGATAAGTAGTGGAACTAGTAAAATGGAATTGGCAGCCACAGGCTTTCTTGTGAGACATTGTGCTGAAGTTAGGTGCCTGTATTCTGGGAAAAGTATTTTTACCTGGAATATTATTAATGGTAACCCAGGAAATGTAATCATTCTGAAAACAATTGTTTACGCTTTTTGTACAGCTGAACTTTTGTCAAAAAACACTTGATTTTTTTTTTTCTTTTAATGTTTTGGCATAGCTGTGAAAATATTTTAATGCATTTACTAAAATAATCACTTTGCCCCATACAAACTAGAAGTATCTTAAGGAAGCTGATCAAGTACATTTTAGAAGTCCCGTTTAATACAGAGAAAGCTGATTTGTACTCTGTTCTGATGTCCGTACGGTATTTCTATATAGCAGTGACCTCAAACTGGATTTGAAATAAAGTCTAATAAAGTTTAAAACTTTAAAAACGTACAGTAATCTTTCCTTGGAATTCTTTCACCAAGGGTATAAGCTGAAGAAGGAGTTTGTGAAACAGAATGTAACTTCATTTGCAGTGCCGTAACTGTAAATCAGTTTGTGAGGTTACAGACCTGTGCAATCCTGCATCAGTCAGTCAGTTAAAATTCACAGAGTGTGCTGACCTTACCGTTTCAGTGGCCAGGTGGTCTGTGATGAAGGAACTTGCTTACAAAATATTCCTGTCATAATTTGTCGCTGAGGATAAAGCTCGTGAGAATACAGAGGTATATGACATGGTCAAATTTCATTTGCTTATACAGGGCAAAGAACAAAAGCTAAATCTTCAGCACAGTGCTTCTGTTAACAAACTTAACGTCCCACAGAAGGGCCTCCCCCACTGGCATACTGCCCTCCAAGGCTTGAAATCCAGTACGTCTCAGTGAGAATGTAAAAGATGCAGGGAGTGTCCAGCTCTGGCAGGGGGTAAGGCTGCATGACTTCAGTGCACTAGCCACGACTTAGCACACCTTCTACAAGTCAAAACCAAATCATACTTAAATATAAAACTCACATATCAGGAGAAGTAACGCTGCCAGGGGCAAAATTACTACACGTGAAGTTAACTACTGGAACGTTATTGATAAAAAGCAGTTTAATCACTGCCAGGAAGGCCAACAGCAGAGGACACAGGCGCCCAAAATCCAATACTTCACTCTGTCACAGACCTCTTGAGCAAGACCCAGGTATTTTGCTGGCTAAGACCAACGATAAATGTGATTTAAGCATCTATCTCTATAAAAACCACAGGAGAAATTTCATTCCAAACTGGACCTTAGACTGCTTTACCTCAATTATCAGTCTGTAATAAGAAGGAATAGATAAAAGAGTATCACCACACCCAATTTCAGAGGGCTATTAGCAACATAATTAGTAATAGAGTTGTTTGATACCATGGTGATAGTCTGGAGAACTATCAGAGCAGAATAACTAGCACCCTATTCTCTGTTAACCTTTTATTTGTTAGGTTTGAAACGTTCAATCAGACTATGTAATTCAAAGAATATGCAACATGAAGTTACTACACAGTTACAGCAGACCAAGAGCAAAAGCAGTAATGTGTTTATCTTTTTATACACACACACACACACACACACATACACACACACACACACGTTGTCCAAGCATTTGTTAATCTGTCCTTGTGACAATGCCTCATATTTCTCCGAGATCATCATGAAAAATACATGTTCCTTGCACCAGTCATTGGAGTGCAAAAGACAAACATAGCTTTCTGTAAATAAATGGGAAAGCTGACAGGAGGGAACAAATTTTTTCCCCCTCCTGAGCTAGTGAAACACTTACCAGTATCCACACATAAAAACAAGAGAATTTTAAGCTTTTTATTGGAGCTGACTCATGCTTTCAAAGAGCCTGATAGAGCCAAGAGCCAGATATACAGTATGCCTCTTACACGTACATACTTGTAATTCAATTCCGAAACAAGAATACATTTTGTTCACTGCATCTAATGGCTATTAGTGAACCATCCCCTGGAAAATTCAGCTCCAGTTACTTCTCCTCTAGTTTGTTCAAATAGCTTCTTAGCTGGCTGGCTGCTTCTGATTTATGTTACTTGCATGCAGGTTATTATTCTGGCAGATAATAAAATAAGCCTCCCACAAAATAAAGGTTTTATTTAAAAGTAGCAGCTCTCTCAGCAAGGCAATCATTCAGTCAACACAGAGAAAATGGAAATTTTCCTTTCACTGCAAGTCAAGCTGGGTATGTCTTGTTCTGCTGATGTTAAGGATGAAGGAAGGAAAATGTCTGTAATCTGGAAAGAAGTCCCGCTAATCAATTTTTTTTCTCCCTCAAGATCCAAAAGTTTTAACATTACAGTCTGACATGTCTGTCTGCTTGCCCTTTCAAGGAATAGAGGGAAAAGGGTTTGGATTTACCATCAGTGTACACTGTTACAACACACTGACAAATAATCCTTGCAGAGGAGTTTGTTTTGTTTTGATTTGCCTTCTAAAAGTTGCCTGCCATTGCTCGCCTTAGAATCTTCTGCTCGGCAGCTCACTAGCTATCTGTACTTGTTAAAAAGGCCTACCAAGCGATTTTATTCAAACAGTAATTTCCCTATCCACTTTTGCCTACTTGAGAGCACCACGTAGCAGCAATTTTGGAGTTGGCCAGTCAACAGGAGTTAAACATATTAAGTGAGGGTTGAATTACTTAACATCATGTACTCCATATTACTCTCCCACAGACGCCCTGTGGGCGAAAGTCGTCCAGCATAACTCGAATAAGCATGACTTCAGGCACAAACACTAGATAATATTCAGTGCTACTGTTTGGCTTTTAGCTCCCTCAGACCCTTGCTACGTGTGTGCACCCTGCAAGCAGCTGGGGCTAGCCCCAAACATTTTTTACTGTGCCTCTCCCGGAGGTTACGGTTGCCACTGCAAAGCCCCGGGAACCCAGGGTGCGTTCCTCATCTGCGCTGGGGCACAGACTGAGCTGGAGCAGCAGCCGGAGGTGCTCTGTACTAACCCTGCTGAGTTCATACGAATACTCTAAGTCACAGGGGTTGGTGGTGACACTGAAGCATCAGGGAGCAAAGGGACATCTTCAGTGGCTCCAGTTAGGTCTGAGGGTCATGGGCGTGGGCTTGCCCCCAGGGGATTGGGCCAGCAGGGCCTCTTCCCCCCATAGCCTCCTTGCCTTTTCTGTGGTTTGTGACACCATCATGTGCTCTCTTCCAATAGAATTTATAACCATCTTCTTATGAGGAACCTGGCGTTAATGCTGGCTCCAATGCTGGCGCACGCATTTACATGTCCTCCTGCCCTCCATGCCCTGAGCAGCTCCCACACTGGTGGGCTCACAAGCACAAGGTCCTTGTAAGCTCCCACCTCTTCCCACAGAACTACGCAGGTATCCCCAAGCCTCATTCACCCTCCTCCCTGTGCCAGGCTGGGTCCCAGTTCTGACCTGCCCTCACATGTTTGGCCTTTTCCATCTGAAAGGAGCTGATCATCCTCTTGCAGCAGCATATCTCCAGTTTGTGGTTGCTTTGTTTAGCTCTTGGTGCTCTGCAACGTGATACAGCCAACAAACATCGATCCTTCAAAAGAATTAATTTCCCTCTGAAGCATTAGGCCATCTTCACAGCTTAACCCCCCCCCACCCTCTTTGATTTACAACACAGTATCTTCTTTATATATCAAAAAACAGAACAAAGGAATTCAAAATCTGAAATGACAGTTTGACTTCCCCAGCCCATTTTGCAAAAGAAGTGTAACTAAACCCGTAAGCTATGGGAAATAGTTCACAGCTCAGAATGGAAACCAGTGACACTGATACGCCTGAAGTCAGAGAGGCACATCCAAGGGAAGGAGGGAGGAGGGAAAGACGAGCAGAAAGCAAACCTCTCCTTAACCTGGCTACACCACGTTTCCGTCTCGTGGCTCTGGAGTGACAAGAGAGGAAGCGCAGCCTCTCTTCTCTTCCTGGAGACGCAAACTTTGGCCCCCTTGTTTCCAGCAGGTTTTACCATCAGCGCCTAACTGCACTGCTCCACTGGCCACCAGCTGCAAGGCAATAGGAAAAGCCCGGCACTCAGCTTCTTTAACCTTTTCTGACAGTGTCTCCTCGGTGTCATCTGCCTTCACAGACACTGGCTCCTGGTGGATCACTGCTTTTGGACTAGATTCCTCCTAAAATGGATATATTGGAAGTCTCTTAGAAAAGGCTGGTTAACGGTGTCAGGAAGGTTATGGATGATGCGGGTTGTGGAGAGAAAGTCTCGTGCGATATCTCAGTGAGAGCATCTGCAGTTGTGTGCAGTAGGCTGAAAGTAAGTCTGGAAAGGCTTGCCACCCACAAATTAGGGGGTAGAGTGGGAAGAGGGACATGGGCTAGCAGATACAGAGGGTAGTTGGCTGAGGGTATCAGAGACCAAAGAAATCTGGTAGCGTGAGGGAAGAAGAGAGACCCTTGGGAAGCCACAAACAAAGGGGCAAGGGGTTAGAAACAAGACAAACAAAAAGGCATCAAAGGGCAGGGCCTGCAAAGGGCCTCCCCATACAGAGTAAAGCTTCAGCAGGTCCCCTGGTGCTGCTGTATTGGTCTGATGTTTGGCCACCAAGCCCAGGTTGTCTTTCCAAATGAAGTGCAACTCCTACACCTTCCTGTTTCTACTGGTAATTTTACCAGGACTTTCACACACTCCTTTTATCTCTTCCTGCTTCTGCTTTCGGAAGGGAAACAAAAAAAGCAAATATTTTTCCATAACTTACACACTACTAGGCAAGAGGACACTTACCAGGACAAAATGCACTGCGCAGCCTGTGACTTTGAGGCCCATTTGCAGGGCTTGCTGATGGGCATTTCCACCTTTGTTTAGTGGGAAAAGCGATGGGGAAGCATTCAAAATTTTCCCTAGGCATCAGTTTGAGAGGAGGAAAAAAAAGAAACAATTTGAACTGAATTTCCTTTAAAAATAAAAGTGAGATGTTACCATCAATTCAAAACAACAGCATCTGGCACCACTCAAGAGTTCAAATAGTCCCAATAGCATTCAGAGTATAACACACCGTGTTCAGCTTAAAAAGCAAAAATAAAGTGGTGTCAGGCTATCTATCTGAGGAAATCTAAGGAAGTGTTACTCTAATTTGAGGAGGTATTACTTTTCCAGGGACATAAATGACGGTGTACAGGCTTTGGCACTGGTCAGGCAAGCATGTTTCAGTTAATGCCGAGGATCTTGTTTGCTTTTGCAGCAGAGGATGGGCAGCTGGAATCACAAGGCTCTCTCCCTTCCCCAGTGACCAGCCCTACCACTGCAGATGAGGGGCTTGAAAGCTGAGGACTTCATACTCTGCAGCTTCATGCTCAGCTACAGCACAGATGGAAGACATTTTCGCAGGAAACATAATTCCCAAAGGAGCCTGTCCAAGTGCAATCTCAATAGCGAGTGAATAACTTCTGAGCAAGGCTTCAACACTAACTCAGCACCCAGAGCCAAAAGGCAAGAGGAGTGTGGCCCTCCTCTGCTGGCCCAGAGCATGTGTAAGGGCACACAGCAGAGCTACACTCATTCAGGGTCTCTCATAGCATTACTTCCAGCACACAGTATGGAGCAGTGCTATGCTGTGCAGTTCTTATGGCAATACAGGAGGGAGATGCACTGAGAAATCAGTCTCCCTCCCACTTTTCTGAATAATAACTGCAGGGAACAACTTCTGCACAGCTCCTTGACAAATGACACAGTTATGCCACTTATCACACTAATGCACAGAGAACCAGACTTCTACCTGCTCCACAGGCATTCTTCCTTCCCAGTAGGAAGGCAGACAGATCGACTCCATGACAATGATTTTCTCCTCTGTTACTCGTTATGCCAGCATGAGGTGTTTCTCTGCACTCCTAGCACAGACCCATTGACGGGAATGAATAAAAGCATATGGTAGCCCCACTGATCTACACGCAATCAGATGCAGAGAAGACTTACTCAGTGTCAGCAAGGCTGTGAGAGATTTATCTGAAAGATGAAGAAATACTACTGTGCATTTCTGGTAAGACCAAGCATCTGTATTTCCATTTCTCCTTTACAGAATTATAACTTCTTACCTTTCCATTTTCTGAGAAAAGGACTGGACAAAATTCTCATAAATCCTGAAAGACATATCAGTTCAACAGAGAATTCTTCAAGAACCCGGTCAATTGTGCTGTCAAATTCAGAGCGGCTCCCATACAACTTATGATCAATCACCTAAAACGTTAAAACACAACAAAAGCCCTATCAAGGAAAATAGCTTTGTGCAAATGACATCAGCTACCTGGGCAACAAAGAGAAAAGAAAACATTAATTTCAGGACACCTGAGGATTTCAAGAGTTGTATGTTTGTGTGTTATTCAAATTAGCATACATATAAATACACATAACAGTCATGTAAATATTCCTGGGAACACCCAAATCGCTTGCTAGCTAACACAGGCTGCTCCGCACAGATGTTTTCTAGTACCTGTAGAAAGTCTGCATAAAGAGAAGCCAAGTGTGAAAAGAAAAACATATGGGTAGTGCTGTATTGAGGAGGGGAAATAAGAGGGAACACATCAGAAGATACTGACCTCTCTCTCTAGATTGTCTGGCCAAAGACTAATGTGAAATAGTGATGACTCAGCAACAACATGACCATCAGCCTTTCTACAGTTGCTTACTGAAATTCATGAAATTTTAAAAATTCACAAAATTTTAAAAATTAAAATCTAAAAAGCCAATAAACTGACCAGATGTTCTGTGTAATGGAAGAGTTTAGTGTTTTTTTATTTCTGTTCCTCCCCTTAGCTGAGGCTCCCAAGACAAGTGTTGATTTCTGACTCTGTTCACAAAGATATTCAAACAAGGGGATAACAAAGCTGTCACATTATTACCTGTGAAAAATGTGAATGAATTTTGACGTAATCTAACTTTTTTTTCCAGCGATGAGTCTTTATACTTTCAGCAAAAATGTACCATGTATCCAACTCTGCTGCTGGGGAAGCCTGCTGAAAACTTTTCAATGCCTAGAGAGCCTCTAACAGCATTTATTCCCATCTGAACAGAGCTGCACAAATGAAAACTGTTCTAAATCTTTAAGCGTCAGAAGGATGAGTTCCTGGCTGGCTGCGTTTTAAATCCTGAATCATTCAACATTTTCAAAAGCCATGTTCTACACTTTGCCAAATAAAATGACAAGATGTGATTCTCTTTCTGCAGATTTGTTTTGTGAAACAAAATAGAGGAAAATTTCCATAACAAAGTGCTACTTTACTGACAAAACATAGGAGAATGAGACTTATTTGGTGCCACTGGAAGTGACTGAGCACAACATGAGACAAATTTTTCTAAGAAGGGATCAGCCAAGGAGACAACGTGCTTATGTGTTTCACAGAGCCAGAAGTCTCACCAATTTCTGTTAAAGTTGTAAGCTGCATGGGCTACGGTCTCAGCCCTAAATCAGCAAAGCACTTGCAAGAGTAGAACGTAAGCATACTGATTTCAGTGAGATTTAAGCACATCCCTAAATGTAGACACAGGATCATTTTAAGTGCCTTCCTAAATCTGAACTGTAAGGTTCACTGAAGAGAAGGGAAAGACACTCACTGACTCCAGTCACCACTGTGTTAGGTCTCTGCAGCTATCAGCTCTGTCTCTACTGATAGCTTTGACAACTTCATGCCACATCCACTTATCATATGAAAGGTTTAAACCAATGTGAAACATGAATTCATACCAACCACTTCATAAAGATCTACAGATTCAATATGTGTGAGTTGATGATAAAAAGGAAAGGAAACGGGTGCCTTACCCTGGTGGGAATTCCAGCCCGGGCTGCGTTTCGTAGTTCTTCTACCCCAGACTTGTTGGAGATGACAAGGACAACTTCAGCAAAACTGCCTGGTTCTTTTGCATAACTGATGAGCGCTGCAAGGTTTGTGCCTCAAATAAAGAGAGAATAAACATTCATGAAATAGATGAGCATTTACGTCACAGAGAAGTGGCCCTCAGTCCTGTTTATATCACAACAATCTTGGTTTCAACAACTAAGCAAATAGAAGAGGACTAAGGAACTTGTGCACTAATAATGCTCATTTGTTAAGCAGTATAGGATATCTTCTTGACTTCTGGTCCAAATGCAGCCCTGGCTTTAGAAGGCTCCATAGACTGCACTGAAAAAAGTGAGGGTGGACGCACCCTCACTGAGGGTGAAGTGAGGCTGAATTCAGCCTCTCCTTTGTAGGGCCATTTTCCTGTGTGATGATAAATGCAAGCTCACCTGTTCCAGAAATGAGAACAGCTACTTTAACTTTTTTCTTTCTGGGGTAGTAGGCACTCTCTACATCAGCATTACTCAGCAGACACTGCGGGCTGGTCAGCTGCAGAGCTTCAAGAAGATTCTTGACTTCGATGCGACAACCTCCTTCAAATATGCAAGGAAAGTGTTGCAAGTAAAATATCTCAGAAGTTATTTTCCCACCAAAATCTGCTTTATATAGTTCACTAACAATAAGTTTCAATCAATCAAGAGAAAATCTATCAGTAATGACTTTATGCCAATGCTAACTCAACTACAGAAACGTTTACTACTCAAAGCAACTCACACAAGTAGTTGTGCTGATCTCTTTTGGGTTACTCACTTGCAGATTTGTCTGCAAGGACCTAGGTATGGAATAGTCTTTTCAAGGATTCCCTGCATCTTTTACGCCCACCCTCCTCCTTCTCTCATGCTGCAAAATTAAACTACAATGATGATGACAGAGCTGAGGTTTTCTTTTGGCTGCCCAAACTGCTCTCCAAGTTGCTTGGGGACCAGAGCGGTTTTGGCTTATGTCTTGCTGAACATCAGTCAGTGGACATATCAGAATGAAGACTTGCCATCATATGGCCTAGCCTCGATCTTTACACAGGATCCATGAGAGTTGGAAAGGGGTTGGAAAGGAGATGGGTTGATTACAATGATTTTGGTAACATACAGTCCACTAAAGAATGTTAGAGTCCTACATACAGTCATCAGAGGGATTTACTCTAGCCACAGGCAGGTACCCAGGTAAGACACTGTTCAAGTAATGTCACTCTGGTAACAAGTTATTCACTTCTCACTGAATTTAAGAATGAAATCTAGATGTGAAGGGTGCCAACTAGTTTTCACCCTAGTGAAATGACAGGGAAAAGATTTGAACTACACAAACCTTACAATAAGGGCCTCAGCACCTACAGAACTGAGGACAACCAGTATCTCCCAAGAAATGCTCAGCACTTTACGCAATCACACTCTAAAACAACTTACCTTGTATTGACAAACAAATTAAATTGTGCATCCCTAAGGGCCTAGTGGAAACCGCTCTGAAGAGGGGAACAGGAGAATCTGTTACACTTTGAATGAAGCCATACCCCACTGACACTTTTTTGTCTTCATTTCCAGTTAGAACTCCTGCTAACCTGTGTGACAAGGGGCAACAACTTTCCCGATCAGCCAGGCTTCCTCATGCCTCTGTATATCTTTGAGAATATCCTGAGCCAGCTCCTTCTGCACAACCAAGACTGCACCGATCCCGCAATTAAATGTCTGAGCCATCTCCTCCTCAGAGAGGTTTCCCTCTTTGTAAAGCCAGTAAAATATGTCAGGAATCTTCCAACTGAGAGCATCTGAAAAGATTGAAATTTGTACAGGGTCAGCACAACTGTTTCTTATCCACTTTTTACTATATACAATGACAGCAGTATAATAGAAGAGCTGACAGAGACTAATTCTATTTTAAGAATACTGCCCAAGGAGGACACTAGCCAACTTCCACTCAGGTTTATGGGTGCTCTTTAGCTAGAGGTTTCTAGACATAATTATGCAAGCGAAGACTTCTCTGGGCTTTGTCATGAGAACATGAAGGAAATGATGGTGAATTAAAATCCACTCATTCCTAATCAGCCAGAAGGACTAAGTGACAGACAACTAGCACCTCTTCCATAAAAGATGAAGAAGCTGTGGGACAAATCACCTTCTGGCTTCTTTGACAGTTCCTAGTTTTCTGTTTCAAAGAATCAATAGTTATTGTAGGGGTGTGTACTCAGGTGCTTTGATGGGCAGACTGGAGAACCACAACTTAGCAGCTGAGTGGGGATAAACTGACTGCAGACCTGGAACTTCACCAGAGGCCTTCAAGGCTGCGTGCAGCTGCAGAGCAGAGTGAGGCAGAATGACGTACACATGAATGGAAAGCATGGAGCGGATTTCACAGTCAATTTCTCAAAGAAACCAAGATGAAAGTTTTAGCAAGGGGGAAGCTACCTCCTACCATAACATTCATTAAATGACTCACGCTGTGACTTTTACAGAGACAGTTCTTATCTGTGAGAAAGCAGTGAGATGGTATGTATGGTTTCTGTCAGACTACAATTCTCCTGGAAAATTTGACTGATATTAGGCAAAACATTCAGGACATACTGAGACTTCTTAAAAAGTGGGCTAATACCACTTTCTGGACAATTTCCTAATATTTGTTTTAAAGAAAAGTCCTGACTCAAAACTGTCTTGACCAAGAAACTCCAGATTTGGTTTACTTTGTTGTCCCTGGCAAGGATGGGTGTTTTGGACTTATTCTGGGAGGTATGTGAGTGTGTGTTACAATTTAGATATTAGTAACAACAACGTGTGCATACCGTGGAGCAAGTCATTCAGTTTAGTTTTCTCAACAGGCTTCACTGTTTCATCAAAATGTTTAGTATGGAGAGGTATCTTGCAGAATGCACCATCTTCTCAAATTCCTTTTCTCCTAGAGGAGCTGCCTACACACTCTCCTCAAATTTCCTTTCTCCAACAAGAGGGTGGTACCTTTCAGCTGATACTTAAAATAGGAATGTTTTGGGCATGCTGCTTGAAAAGGCATTGACTTTGGGTCATTCCATCTCCAACTCTACGGACATACGCTTCCAAGTGCCTTTAAAACTGAAGCTGAAAAATCAGGTCCCTGCTATACATAAATGTTGTCAAACAGAAACGTTCATCACTGATACTTACCAACGACCGCACTGACATGTTCTGGCAGGATTCTGGAGATGCCTTCCAGCAACCCCTTCTCAGCAATAAAGGCAAAAGCCTTCACGTGCCCTGAGCGAAGGACAGGAAGCAGAGACTGACTGTACATTTTTGCTGGAGTCAGCAGAATTTCTCCTGCAAATGTAAAACGCAATCAATTTGTTTAAGAGGCATTAAGTGTTTAGTGGGAATGCTTCTCTGAGCAGGGTCCCCTCTGCTTTCTATGGCAGACAGCCCTAGGAAGTGGCAAACGCTGCTGGGCTGCTCTTCCAAACCTGAGGAAGCGAGACAACATACCTACCCACAAGACTGACTAAACTAACCCACGTTGAAATAAACAACCCTAGCAGTATCTAGTTATGAAAATGTCTCAACACAATTCATTTGCAGGTTTGCTTTTAAGAAAGATATTATACCTAGAGTCTTGCCACCACATCCGTCAGATGCTGGAGAGGAGTAACGTAAGGAGGACATTAAAAGAATCTTCCGTATGATGCTAAAGCCACGGCCATGAATCCCGGAGGAGGCCAGTCCAATAAGCACATCCTCCTCATCAGCTCTCTGCAGCCCCAAGTGCATCTGCCCTCGCTCCACTGCACCAACCACAAAGCCAGCCAGGTCATACTCTCCAGAAGAATACATGCCAGTCATCTCAGCCACCTCCCTGCCTAAGCGGGGAGAGAAAGCAGTCAGCACTAGCTGTAAACATGTTTTATATTAACTTTAAGTCTATGGCATCTTCTGAAATAAGCAAGGTATCCAGGACTGCTGCAGAGATGTGCAATCATGCACATTCAGATACATTTTAAAAATCCTTCTTGGTTTCTTACCTAAAGGCTTCAGCAAAGTAAAGCTTCATGAAGTTACCAAAACTTTTTTTCATTTAATGCTACTTATCTGACACCTCCCTGCTATGACTTAACACCAGAGAGGGAGTGAAAACATATTTATTAGCACTTTAAGAATATGAGGCATCCAGTTTTGCTCCCCTCTATGCAAGGAAAAGAAAGATGGGAGTCAGGATCCAAATGTGTGAATGGCAAAAATTAGCCATTTTTCCCTGCTGACCCATTTTAAAGATGAAGGAGAGTTTGAGCTCGAAGGCTTGCCTGTTCTTCCCAAACACAAACCAACTAGTTTAATCCCACATACTGCTTCTGCCTACAAATTTTATTTCACTAATAAACATTTTAACATCAGAAACTTAAAATCTGAAAGCAGAAGAGGAGTGTTCATACCCAGAAAAGCGCATCCTGCATTTTTGCAAGCTTCAGCCATTCCCCCTGTGATTGTTTGAGTCACTTCAACATCAAGTTTGCCACAGGTGAAATAGTTGAGAAAGAAGAGGGGCTCTGCTCCTTGAGCCAACATGTCATTGACACACATGGCAACCAGGTCCTGACCTATGGTGTCATGTTTCTTACATGCCTGTGCGATCTGCAAAACATGGTGGGAACCACCAGAGGTGACAAAAGATATGCAAAACTCAGACTCCTTGTCAAATAAACGCTGGTCAGTCATTTAAGCAGTAATCTTCTTTTCCCCGATAAGAATCACAACAGAAAATACACACAGAAGATATCTAGTAGATCATCTAGTTTAAATGTAGAGAAACCAGCTCATTTTCTTGCAGAGAAAAAAAATGTTTTGTTTTTTGAAACATTAACTCAAATTCTAGCTCCACCTAACTAGAAGCTGTCATTTTTTGTTGTTTGCTTGTTTGATTGTTTTTTTTGTAATATTACATCAGTCTGGAATGAGAGGTGTCTAAAAGTAATTGGAAATTCCTGGGGCATCCAACCTACAGTATCTCCTAGCAATTTCCAAAATTAAGGCCAGGTGGCTCATCACTGTGTGTTCTGCTGTACTTTTACCTACTAATTTCACTGGGCTATACAGCAAAACTCATAGAATGTCATTAAGTAGTTTTCTTCTTCAGGTCCATAATGTAGGAAATTCCTCAGTTGCATCGTCCTCAAGAAGTCTTTCGATCGCAGGCATCTCATGTTATAGACGATGTGGGCCTGGTCTGTAGGGCTCCCTTGAAAGACAGGTCTTTCACTATGCAATATCCTATTTCCCTCAGGAAGGCTGCCATAGTGTTTTTAAAAAGTTACCGGGGTGCTTGCATCCTACCAATAATGAAGCCTGATCCAGATGTTATTGAAGGCTTCTCTAAAGTGGTGATATTTACACCACTGTAATACAGAGGTACCTTTTACTGATAGAACTCCATCAGTACATGTATAACAGCACAGAAATTTCAGTACATATAAATGGGCAGGGGAAAAATGCAGATCTATCTGATCATAGATTCAAAATGGCAAAGTCTGAGTTTGGTTTACAAGCCTGATTTCTTTCACAGGCTGGTGGATTTAGAAGCACTGGGGAAACCAGTCATCCCACATGTTTTGTTGCATTGTAACATTTCCCTCCCACTGATGCAGTAGCAATTCAGATCGGCACCAGCCAACCTTTTCTTGGCTGCGTAAGGGTCTGGGGAAGGGTCTGTGTAAACACAGTTGGGAAGAGCTCTCTGCCAAGCTTAAGGAACAAAGACTCACAAAAGCCAGCACCAATCAGTTTTTCAGGCTCAGAGGTGTTCAAGGATGTAAAACTGAAAAAGACCCTCTGGATTATTGTGTTCACTCTCCTGCTGTTGCAGGAAACCACATCACATCATTCCACTCCTAAAGGTATAAACACCAACTTGAAACAAATTAAGTTGCTGTGCTTGACCAGTGAAAGGCACCTTCAGATCTTCCATTCTCTGATGGTTGAAAGCCTCCTTCTGTTTTCCATTATGAATATATTCTTGGCTCAACTTGTCCTATATGTTCTTGTATAATTAGTATCCTTTAGCTACTGGTTTCTATTTCCCTTAAACGTCTACTTCCCCCATCCTTCCCACCGTGCACTCACAGAGGCAATCATACCGCCTCTCTGCATATAATTTATTGAGCTCAGTCTGACAGTAATCGTCTTGGCACTTCTCCGTACCAATTCTTCTCTCTCTGAACTGACCTTTTTCAAAGCCTGTTTCACAGCAGAAATCCTCGTTCTTAGTTCCTCAGTGTTTGGCTAAATATTTTATTATCATTTCATCACAAAATATCCAGAACCTCCACATTCTCAATGACATATGCACTGGACTTGCCCATATATCATCTACAAAGTTCAAATGACCAGCGCGTGGCGGACTTGTAAAGTCTTTATAATGCTTAGAAGGGTGCAGATGATGCAATAGGCTGTGGCATTTAAAATGGTCTCAGGAGATAACATCAGCTTTGCTATAATCAAGTTGTGAGTTACCTGCAGTTTAGGTCCAAGGCCTTTAATTCGAGATACCAGGATAGGATCATCGTAACCAGATGCTTTCAAGTCAAATAAACCAGCAAAACCTCTTACTTCTGAATGACTGCCTGCCAAGCACAAATACGTGGGGGATCATTATTAGGGGAAATAAAAACCCAAAACATTCACCAAGGCAAGAGACAGCACTGTTTCCACTGACAGCACTGTGTTCTCTGGTAGAAACCTGCAGCTTTATGAAGCACAGACCCCAAAATCACATATTCCATGATGTTCTAATTAAATCTGTATTGTTCTGTATTTGTGACCTAGGAATTGTGTATAGCAAAGGTTAAAGCATTTACCAAACTGTTAACAGCTCGCCTTTTTTCTTCATGTAGTTCATTTTTCAAAGGAGGAGAAAAACAACAAGAAATTTTCCTCAGTGGATCGCTGCTGAAAGTAAAGGCCACAGTCTGAAGAGCAAATTACAAGTCCAGTGATTGTTAACCACTCTCTAACAACTGCTTGGATATTGTACTCATATATATAACTGGTAGGACCACTTCTGTCCAGCGACGTACAAAACCACTCCATTAATTCATGAGTTACTCTGCCCGCTAGATTGCTCTTGGACAACTGCAATAACCCCTGTGTGAAGCCAAATGTTTTAATTAAGCAAAGGAGGAAGAATGAGAAAGAACCAAGAGCTTGCTTTCTTAATGGTGACCCCAACCCCGTTTCTCAAGCTCTGTTTCAATGCCAGGAGATGGTCTGCTCAACTCCTAAGAAAGTCAGTCCTGTTTCATTCAGTATACTGAGGAAATTCAATGACAGTTCCTAATCTTACCTGATCTTGTACCACTTGCAACTGATGTGTCTGGCTGATGAACCAAAACATCACTGGTTGTAGCTCCCATACGTCTCTCTTTGTATATTAGACCCCTGCAGAGAGGAAAGGACATGCTAGCAGCAACACTGACATTTTCCACATAGACTATCACTCATCACACAAACACGAACAATATCCATACAGCTCTGGACTAGCATCTATTTCTGCTAGTGCCTTTGTTTACATACAGGGACTGTTTGAGAAGCCGTATACCCCGATGGCCAATGTCCTTCCTGTAAGTGGCACCCTTGAAACGGATGGCCGCTACTCCCCTGTTGGCTTCTCCCAGTGCTTTCATCAGATCCTCCTTAACTGCAGTGATGCAGAGGACTCTTCCACCACTTGTCACCACTCTGCCATCCTTCAGCGCTGTGCCAGCATGGAACACCTGCAGCCCTAACTCTTTGGCTTGAAGTAGCCCTACAGAAGCAAAAGAGCTCTCTGAGTACTTTAAATCACACGAAATGTTGGTAAAGCAGTGAAGATTCAAGCTCTTTCTTTAGTCAAGGGACAAGAAAAGTGAAGCTTTCCACCTTCCTCTTCCCTGAGAAACACTATTACCAGCGAAGGATATCCCAGTTCACTGGCCCTAGGCCTGCCTTCTGAGACAGCCATCTAGGACACAGATCACACAGGAACGGAAATAAGGGATCAAAGAGACATAGCAGGACATAAAACTACTCTCAGCCATGACAAAACTGCTGAATATTGTAATTGTGAATGATTTGTGCAAGGTTTTCCTGTATGAAATCATTCCTCAGTTCATAAGAATTTACTGCTTGAAGTCTCCCTTCTCCTGGATATTAAACCATTAGTGTTCGTGTTATCTCAGCACCACCCTAACTGACCTGCTGTGCCCATTCCATGCAGTTCGCTACCGCACTTGCCATAGATGCTCTCCACTTGCAGGTGGCTGTCTGATGGCTGAAACAAATGACATATTTTGTTCTTTTAATTTCTCTTTCCATGTATTTTCCTGTTACAGGAAAGCAAAAGTGCTCAGGGTGTTTTTCTGTTTGTTTGTTTGTTTGCTTTTAATTCGTATTTCAAGATAATAAGGGAAGAGGAGAACTGCTGCCATTCCCTGGAAAATAAGTACAGTTTTCCCCTTGCTATCAGCTAGATTTTACAAATGAAGAAACAGAACCTTGCTGGACAGACAGCGCACTGTACCACCACAGCACTGCCCTGACAAGGTCATAGCTGAGCCCTAACTGGCCTTGCTGCAATGTAAACCTAACTCCTTCCTATCGTGTTTTAAGGAATACGCCAGAATAAAATGATTGTTAACCCATTCAAATAGGGGATAACAATGTGAAAAATAGAAATAAACGAATCCCCTCCCCTACAACTCCTGGGGCTGAAAGTTTAGTAACAAAAGAGTGGACTGAATGTCATTGTTTTGACCATCTTTTTGTGATTTATAGGCAGGATAGTCAAATCATCTCACTCCTAAAGGTATCAATGCCAACTTGAAAAAAGTTAAGTTCCTGAGCGTGACTAGTGAAAGGTAGCTCACTGACAGAGGGGCTGATTCAGTTTGGAGTGGGGGGAGTTAGTTACAGAAACGCAGTTTCCCGTAATATCACTGACAAAAAGCTACAGTCAGTGACTGAACTGGAGATGAGGACGGGGGAAGAAAAAATGAGAGCAGAAATCCTGAGAAAAGGAAAAGCAATATAACATGACTTCCTCTCTGGCCAATGTAGAATAACTGGAGTTCTGAAAAAAATAAGGTGGCCTTGATAAAAACCCAGCTCTCTGGGCTGTTTTGTACAACACATAGTGTTGGACTGGCAAGGCAGAAACTAAGGGAAGAAGGAAATAGTTCTGCCACAGTTCCCTCTGTTTTTTAAACCAGCTATTTAAAAAAAAAAAATCCTAATGATATATCAAAACACAAGAATTTAATTTTAACCCTAAAATGAATTTTAATCTAAAGTCCATATGCCCACCTTCCCCTAAACCCTTCAGTCCCTATGAAGTGGAGGTCCTATGAGAGTTCCCTTTCTTTTACATGTGTTACACAGCGGCACATGCTTTTGTCCGTCCATCATCTAACAGCCCTGTCTGGCCAGCACATGGGAAGAAACCAAGCTGATGGAGCAGGCACGCACCGCTCCTATTATAAAGGCCACAGGTCCTCATCTCTCACCCTTACCACTTAGTCAAGCACTAGCTAGGATAAGTTGACCCTTACCCCTCCACGAGAGAGCAAAGCTAGCAAAATCAGCTATTAGCATACAACACTGTTGTCCATGTTTCCAGCACAGCTTGTGGAAGAACTCCACATGAACACACCAGATTATTTCTAGAAGGACATAATGCTCCATCACCTTCTTAGCTCAGCAACAAGCTACAGACTGATCTTTTTGGAATGATGTTAATTTTAAACACCTAGACCTTGTGCTACTTTGGTCAGGTATGCATTTCAGTTAAACGATATTAGTAAACAGCTACCCCCTTCCACAAGGATAAAGAATGACGGATGAAGGCAGATTCTGATGACTGCGTGGAAGGGGATGGAGAAAAGCAATACAGCTTTCTGGTAGAAGAGGTAAATGCAAACTTACTGAAGTGCTAGGCAGGAATCTACTGAAGTTACCTGTAAACAATCTACTGAAGTTACCTGTTACCTCCATGCCTTTGTCATAGTCTCCTGGGTATCCTGCACTTGCCATGACCACACACACAGCTGTACTATTTTCTGACCAGGCTGGCATGAAGCTACAGAGTTTGCCATCAATCGTTGCTTGAATCACTTCATAAAAATCATTTTTAAGCAGTGGAAGAATTACCTGCAGAAAATTTGGAGAGTGATAGGACTTAGTTCTTATTTTGATGACTTGTTCAAATTCAAATTAGAGAAGTAACTTGAAGAAAATTCAGTATACAGAGAAAATCTGTGTCTGCCAAACTGAATATACTGTATTTTCCTATCTCTGTAGATTTGGAAAATATCAGCGAGTATTAATTTGCAGCAATTCTCTGCAAGAGGTAGAAATTCACAACACCACATGGAAGATTATGTAGAAGGAATATGAATCTAGGCCCACTCCAGTCTGCTTCCATCCAGAAAAATAAAATTTGAGCAACATCTTAACTTAACTTAAATTCTTTAATTAATTCACAGAAGCTGACTAGCTAAAACTTTAAGTTACTGCACACATTGTCTATGACATTCTCATTCAGATCTGCATGTTGAGGAGACAGAAGACAGATTCAAACACATTACTCAGTTTCTTTAGTGGTAAACTAGATGTCAGAGGTGAAAAATGAAGCATTTTTAAGTTTCCAGTATCTCTCACTCACTTGGCACTGAGGGTCACCAAACTGACACTTAAAGTTTAAAATTTTCACACCATCTTTGGTAAGCATTAATCCCATTTGCAGCACACCTGAACAGAAAGAACACAGCCAAGCAAATTAATTTAAACACTTATTTTTCAAGAACTCCTTTATATGCAACACAATACTTTGGAATGCGGAATACATTTTTGCAAACTGTAAGGAATTAGCAGCAGGGATTCTGCAAGTAGTTATACTCAAGTCATAATAATTCCACACTAGCCAAAAAAAAAAAAAAAAGGCTAGCAGCAACACGAGGAGTACTGTATCACATTTTAAACTGAATATAATGGAAAGCAACCTTTCTGCACCAGAAAGCAAGTTCTGCCTTCTGCTACTGTCCTCTAATTTCAGGCATTCCGAGACCAAAAGAAATTGAAAGGATAAAAAAAAAAAAAGCAGTTCCCAAAGAATCCCATTATGCAGGCTTTACTTTTGTATTGGTTTGGTGTTTTTTTTTTTTACCAGAAAGTGCACTATTGCTATGTATAACCATTTCTGAATTTCAGGCAAAAGTGCCAAATCAAATTTCGCTACAGATACTGCTTATCAAAAATAATAAAAAAACTTACTGAAGTTGGTATCCTGTAATTTCCTCTGCAATACACATATGTGTTAATCTAAATCAGGCCTTTTGTTGTATATTCAGGAAATTAATCCCCAGAAAATAACAAGTGCTAAATATTAAACCCCACAAAGCATCAGTTCCCCCAACATCATCCTGAAAATGCTGAACACCCATTAATTTCTTACTGCAGAGTTGAGCATTGTAAAAAGTTACCAAATAGCAGAGGATACTTGGCATCTTTTGAAAGTGGAACCCAGCTCTACATACATGTTATCCTCACTGCCAAGAAAAGTCACTCGCATGAAATGACAGCTGTGAGCATCAGCTCGCTTTTTCAAAACAGTCTTAAGACAAAGATCTTAAGAAAATTTTCATTACTGTATATAGGAGTGAACAGTACAACCAAATTTAAGTATAAATTATGTACCCTGAACTACAAAGGGTCTGGTTGCAACTATTTTAAAAATAAAAAATATTTAATAAAAATTACAATATGTTTTATAGCCCAAGATTATTCAGATTGAGTGTTTTCTAGCTACTGGGATTCATTGCTTTTTGAAGGTAACAGTTGTAGCAATCAAATGCAGGCTCCCACTGGTTAACACCATTTACACATCTCCCACATTCCAGCTGAGGTTTCTGTTTTATAGTTAATAAACCATCCCTCCAGTGTCTGCACGTTATGAAAAAAAAAAACAGGCATGACAAATCTCCTAAAATGCCATCTGGAAGAAAAATGAAAGTTCTTCTCTCCAAAGGAAGAGCTATAAACCAAAGCAGTGAGGGTTAATACTGCATGAAAAATGAAGTTTTCTCTCTTTTTTTGACAAATATTATTTGGAATTCAAATGTAACAATGAAACTTACCTTGATATGACTTTACCTTGCTTTTCAATTGAATGCTTACTTACCTACATATGCTGTTCCTTCCTGTCTCATACTATCAATAACATGTTGAAGGATAGCATCACTGATTTTCTCTAGAAGAACTTCTGGAACCTGACGATCAACAACAAATTGATTGAGACAGGGATGACATTTGCTGGACTAGTCCACAGGATCTGGAATTTCTGGGGTAAGCGATGCCTCAGCTACGTTTCCTGCTGTCCCACCCTTATCTGGCATGGTCCCTGTGTCAGGGTGCTGCTGCCTTAAGAACAGACATACTGATGCTGTACCTCTTAAGGTTTTTTTGCCTCCTTCTTTCTTTCAATAATAACACTTAGGTCTTCATTAGAGGGCTGACTTTAAAGAGATTTGAGACACTGGCAACCTGGGCTGTACATAGTAAGATTATTTTGTTTCTGTACTTACAGAAAAGCACAGCAATAACATACTTGATCAGCACATTTAGAACAATGCACGTGGCTTTTAAGAATCAATAATAAACCTAAGGTTATGTTCAAGACACAAAGACTCCAGGCCTGCTGGGAATTTTTCAGGGACATTCCAAGTAATACGAATAGGAGCAGAGAAACGCCAAGATTAGAAGCAATGGAACAGATAAAAGAGAGACAGTTCTTTCAGAACACAGCTTCATGAAATCCCAAAGAACAACTACTAAGGTTTGAGCCCTGTGTCGACTTCTGCAAGCAAAGCATCAATGAACTCCAGAAGAAATTCCTCTAGAAATTCCACCAGGAATTCAGGCTCAAGAGCGGTGCATCCCTATGAGCAAGAAGTCGAGCAAAGCGGGCAGGAGACCTGCATGGATGAACAAGGAACTCCTGACAAAACTCCAGCAGAAGAAGGAAGTCTACAGAATGTGGACAAGGGGACAGGCCACTTGGGAGGAATATAGGGACGTTGTCAGAGTCTGCAGGGATGCGACGAGCAAGGCCAAGGCCCACTTGGAATTAAATCTGGTAAGGGATGTCAAGGGCAACAAGAAGGGCTTCTTCAAATACATCAGTAGCAAAAGGAAGACTAGGGAAAATGTGGGCCCCCTACTGAATGGGGCAGGGGCCCTGGTGACGGAGGACACAGAGAAGGCAGAGATACTGAGTCCCTTCTTTGCTTCAGTCTTCACTGCTAAGGCCAGCCCTCAGGAATCCCGGACCCTGGAGACCAGGGAGAAAGTCTGGAGAAAGCAAGACTTTCCCTTGGGCGAGAAGGATCGGGTCAGAGATCATTTAGGCAGACCTGACACCCACAGGTCCGTGGGCCCTGATGGCATGCACCCGCAAGTGCTGAGGGAGCTGGCGGACGTCATTGCTAGGTCCCTCTCAATGATCTTTGAACGGCCATGGCAATCGGGAGAGGTGCCTGAGGACTGGAAGAAAGCCAGTGTCACCCCAGCCTTCCAAAAGGGCAAGAAGGAGGAGCCTGGGAACTACAGGCCTGTCAGCCTCACCTCCATCCCGGGAAAGGTGATGGAGCAGCTCATCCTGGAGGTCATCTCTAAGCATGTGGAGGGCAAGAAGGTGAGCCGGAGTAGTCAGCATGGATTCACCCAAGGGAAATCACGCTTAACCGGCTGGATAGCCTTCTGTGATGGGACAACTGGCTGCGTAGAGGAGGGGAGAGCAGTGGTTGTTGTCTCCCTGGACTTCCGCAAGGCTTTTGACACTCTCTCCCATCGCATCCTCATAGGCAAGCTCAGGAAGCGTGGGCTGGATGAGTGGACAGTGAGGCAGACTGAAAACTCGTTGACTGGCAGAGCTCAGAGGGTTGCGATCAGTGGCAGAGAGTCTGGTTGGAGGCCCGTATCTAGTGGTGTCCCCCAGGGGCCAATACTAGGCCCAGTACTGTTCTTAACTTATTCATCAAGGACCTGGAGGAAGGCACAGAGGGCACTCTCAGCAAGTTTGCTGATGATACTAAACTGGGGGGAGTGGCTGACACAGCAGAAGGCTGCGCTGCTATTCAAAGGGACCTGGACAGGCTGGAGAGCTGGGCGGAGAGGAACCTCCTGAAGTTCAACAAAGGCAAGTGCAGGGTCCTGCACCAGCGGAGGAATAACCCAAGGCACCAGTACTCATTGGGGGCTGACCTGCTGGAAAGTAGCTCTGCGGAGAAGGACCTGGGAGCCCTGGTGGACGCCAAGTTGACCATGAGGCAGCAAAGTGCCCTTGTGGCCAAGAAGGCCAAGGGTCTCCTGGGATGCGTTAGGCAGAGTGTTGCCAGCAGGTGGAGGGAGGTGCTCCTGCCCCTCTCCTCGGCCCTGGGGAGGCCTCACCGGGAGTATGAGGAAAAACTTTCCTGTGAGGGTGACTGAGCACTGACGCAGATTGCTCAGAGAGGTTGTGGAGTCCTCTTCCCTGGAGATACTCAAAACCGTCTGGACACAATCCTGGGCAACCTGCTGTAGGTGACCCAGCTTGAGCAGCGGGGTTGGACTAGATGATCTCCAGAGGTCCATTCCAACCTCAACCATTCTGTGATTCTGTGATATATCACAGAAACAGGACTGGGTCCTAAAGGAGACACACTAACCACAGGTATGATCACCCTTATTGCAGGCTGAGGTGGGAGGACTGCTATACCTGAGGCACTGGGCAATAGGCTCCCATCCCTCCAGTGTTTGGACCCTGGTCGCCATCCAGTAACCGCTTGTGGGCCTGGACTGGGGGCATTGAGGCAACAGTGACACCATCCGTGAAGCACAGGCACTGTTAAAGAGATGCACACAACACAGAAAGCACAATGACAGTGTCCTGTCCAAAGGGTAGTTCACACTGCAGGTCACAGACTGACACTGTGCTGCCAGTAGAATTTAGGAATCAAAGGTAGAAAGCAGTGGGGTCCATTTATTCTGCTGCAAATCCACTGATTTGAAGGATTCATTGAACTCCTTTTTCTTTTCCTTTTTTTTTTTTTTTTAATGAGTGAGAGAAATGACAGCCCTCATAAGAACTCCTTTTGGGTGAATTCATGTCTTGACTTAGCAGTCATTTGGACATGTGCTTACCTTAAGGCATGTGAATAGCCTCCTTCAACTTGACAGAATTACTCGTATGTTCGAAGTTAAACATCTGTGTTTGCAGGACTGGGGCCTGAATGAGTGTGAGGTATTCTCGCTGCAGAACAAATCTTGCACAGAAAGTTCGTTTTCTGTTTTCATATAGCATATAGTCTCCTGATATAGATGTTTAAGTTTTATCCTGCCACTGAGTAACAACCTACAGCAAGGAAAGCACTAAAGTAGGCACTAACTTTTGGCATAAGGTTAATGATGTAACAAGAATGACAGAGGTAAAGTCCATGCAAGCATGTTTTAGGTCACCCTAGAAAAAAAGATTAACTTCCCTCTAAAAAGATCACCATTATTGCCAGTTTATGGCTAATATAGAAGAAAATTCTACTCACAAGTTAATTAATATGAGATAAAATTGCTTAGTTTGCACATTATGTAAGTGCCAAATAAAACACATAATCTACTTGAAACAATAAATTTGTGTGTTTATGCATACCAAGTAGCAATAATACCAAAGAGTGAAAGCACATGACCATACAGTTAAGCCAAAGTTGAACACATACAGAAAGTTCTTCCCCTTGAAGAAGTTCTTCAATGACAACCATCTCTCCAAACGTTCTGTCCTGTACAGAAAAAAATCTTCAGTTACTGAACGTGACATGTACTAGCTAAATCCTCTCTTCCCTTTCTTCTAACAGGAAAAAAAAAAAGGATGTATATAAAAAGGGCCAGTCTACTTGAATTCTGGTATGTTGAGCAAAACTAATGGAACCTCACTCCAAGATGAGGGAGGTACATTGAAATGCACCTTATTTGACTCCAGAAGCTAACGGAAAATGGAAAAGTTGGAGGGACAGGGAAGTGAGACCCAGTGCTACAATGAGAGAGCAGACACAAACTCCACAGAGCCCTGCTCAGTGCCCACCGTCTGGGACACACATGAGAAATTTGAGGATGCCGCTCAAAGAAAGTCAGTACCCAGAAGGATGAGGAACAAGGAGAAAGTCCCACAGTGATCGAATCTGACAGATAGGCAGACTGACGTATGTATAGAGAATACATATAGCAAGGCAGCAGCCATGCAAATTTTGGTGCAAGTTGGATGGATTTCGTTTCCAAGTCCGTCCTGCTCTTGGCCAAACGGGTGAGTTTGTGCTGCAAATACTTGTTGCCTATGGCCTAGCTCACAAATTCATTTGTCACAGAGCACAGAACATCAAGAATTGGATTCCCACTGTTTAAATAAAGGGATCTCCACCTGCATAATCTCTTGCACAGCTCTGCAGGCTTCCTCTTTGCTGGCTGCAACAGTCACTTCTTTTCTAGCAGCAGGGCCCCTCGCTCGTACAACTCTTGCAGGGAAGTGTGTGCTTTAAAAGAAAGCAAAAGTGAGCTTCCAGTATCCCTACTGCATCCAGTAAAAGGCGAATGCCTCCCATATTCTTCTCTTTTTCTGAACAGTCGAGGAATAACACATTAGAAAAGCACGTTCCCTGCTAACCCATCTTGTTAGGGAGGTGAATGGGCTCTTAAAGACCAAGCACAGGAGTGTGGACCAGAAATGCAGGAATTCTACTGTTGGCTCTGACACCAACTCAGTGTATACCCTTGGACAAGTCACTTAACTTTAACACCTCACAACTTCTTTTCCCTCCCCAGATTTGGGATACCATTTTATCCCTGCTGTAGGATTTGAAAGATGAACTCACGAATGATTTATAGGCTTATAACATCAGACTTACAGTACATAATCCTATAAACCACTATGTAAGCTCGTATTAAGATTTCAAGGTTAAGGCTGAGTTAGCTCTTGCTTGTAAAGCATATTTTAAAACTAGCATATTAGCCATGTATCCACAGAATTGCTCCACTTACTCTTGAACACAAACTAAATTTGGAAGGAAAGAAAAAAAGAAAAAAAAAAAGAACTGTGTGACATTTTAACTACTCTTTATCCATTCACCAGTCTCCAGTTCGTGGACAGTCAAATGAAATGTCCCTTTTGAAGAGCTGATTCATCACACTTCTAGACTATTATCTAACACAACATCTCATTCCCTTCTCCTTTCCACACTGTGGTTTATATTAGGATCAATCTCAACCCTAGATTTTACAAGTAGCCACGGAGCTACTCACATAGAGTTCCTTTCCTCCACAGCTTGGTGTGCCCACCTGAAATAGTTTTTCTTTTTGAGTCCTAGGCATGCTTACAGAAATACAAATTGTTGGCATGTTTCTGCATATGGCAATAATATACACTAAATGTTCTTATAGCGAGCATGCCTCAATAAAGTCAGTGATAAGGCTGTTCTGTTTTTTGGAAAAAGTTCCACTAGATTATACCACATGAAAAACATAATAGCAGAGACAAGCAGCCTATGAAACTAATACACAGCCATGGACCAGTGTAGATGTAGCTGAACACAGCAGGTGCTTTGTTCTGTGACAGTGGACTGTCACTGCTCTGGACCAAAATAGCCACAGCAGTAAGCTCCTCTCCCAAAGGACCCTCAATGACTTCAGAAACATTTTTGCTCAAAGCAATTGCAGAGATACACAGTTACATTTCTCTCTGTATGTAAGAGAGATGCTGTCTGGCCATGAAGAAATGAGAGTGTGATCCTTAAGTTATGGGTTTTTGATCAGTCCCCCCCTAAACCACTCCACAGATAGTATTTTGCTATTTGTCTGTATAGAAATGACCGTTGCTCTTACAGAACACAGTTACAGAAAGATTTGTTGAAATATTTTTCTCTGCAAAACATTTTTTTTTCTTTTAAATGGCTAAACAGTATCCTCGAGACGCTGATCAAAGGGAGAAAGCTGTGATCTGTGAACAGAAAAAAAATTCTGCTCAAGTGCCCTGCACCTTGGCCATCCTGTCTCTGATTACAAAACCAATTCAATAATAATCAGTAGCCACTTGAAAAGTTCAACATTTGGAAAGAAAATACTTCCTCACTAGTTCTAGGCAACTATCATGGGTGAAGGCCAAGTGCATAGATAATCTGACAAAGAAAGAGCGTCAAAATATTTACCTGGTAATAAACCTGCAAGCTTCTTGAGGATTGGTGAAGGCTTTCCATCTTGCTGTTGGGATCCCATGCCGATCCAGAAAGGCTTTGGCAAAACTGGTATTGGACTCCAGCTGGGCTGCTTTTGCAGATGGCCCAAAACATCTAACTCCAGCTGCTCTCAAGTCATCAACAATCCCTAATCATCAATAAAACCAAAAGAATAAAGTCATCTCTTCGGAAACATCCAAGCCATTCCGATACAATAAAAACCTCAACACCACTGCAGCAACCTCTTTGATGTCTTAAACAGCTAATTCATCCTTAAAACAATGTTCTGAACATCCAGTGATCTGTTTCACCGCTTAGTTTCAAGAGGTCTTCAGCTCTTCATTTTATTAAGTACTGTCACAGTGACCGCCCCATGACTACAGTTGGGGCTGCCCAGTAGTTCCGTTCACTACTTAAGTCATGGAGATTTTACTGTAGGGCATTATAATCAACGCTAGTAATGATTTGCGTATGGTTGCATACAGCAACAATATTTGGGCTGTTGCAGGAAAACTCTATATAAGGGAAAGCATAGCAGAAGACGCAAGAATATTTGTAAACATTACTGAGTCTTGATTCTGCATAATTTCCCCTGACAATTTCTAACATACAAAAAGCAACACACAGCTCACAAGCCAAAAGTTTAAGGTGACTAGTGCTTACATTTATAAAATATTCTAAACCTCTGTCTTGCACTTTTCAGTTTCATTAAGAGAGCGTGCAGCTTATGATCTTAATAATAAGAACATTTTAAAGCCGTATTCAAGGTCCTGATTTTTACCGTCAAAAGAATTTATTTTAGCCTTACCAGCTGCCAGAAGAGCTTCTTGTCCAACTAACACCAGCCCAATGTTATGATCTTTGCAGAACTGGATAACAATAGTATGATTGCTGACTAACACAGCTGAAAAGGAAAGGACAAACAATTAAGTTCCTAGTACAAAGCTTAAACAACAGAGGAAAGATGAGAATGTCATGGTTCCATTGCCCTAGGAGACCATGGTTCCACCACCCTTTGAGACTTCTACTCCCCTATTAAGTTTGGCTGAAAGTGGTCAGTGAATTCAAGCATGACAGTGGGAGGGAAGAGACAAAGTGAGGAAATATATAGTTTCACGTAAGCCTCACTTTCTTAAGAGCTAGGCTAAAAATACATACAATATGATGTTTTACCAGGCAGTTCTACAATCAAAATCATCAAAAACAAAACATTCAGAAAAAATAAATGTCTTAAATAATTTGTGGTACCAGTAAAAGAAAAAAATTATTGTTAGCCTCTACCGATTCAATACGAATATGTTAACTTTTGCTTCAGTTCCAACATCTAAATTACTGATTGCTTGCAGAATATTTGGCTTTTCTCCCTTTTTACCTGAATTTGAAATTTTTCCATTGTCAGCTGTTCCTGCGTTTCCTGGTGCAACATATACTTGTTTTACGTGTGGAGACTGAGCCAATTTCCAGGCCAGAGCATGTTCTCTCCCTCCACTGCCAATCACAAGCACTCGATCAGCCATTAGCCTGTGCAAACCCAGAATTATTACATATAGTGCTATAACCTTATTTCACAAACCCATAGAAAAATGAGCAGAAATACAGAAATTATATCCATCATAGCCACTTACAATTGGAAGGCAATCTCAACCCAGTTCTTATTAGACTGGTATATACAGACATCAGAACAAAGTGACTTCAGAACAAAGTGACTGCACTAAAAGCGTCACTGAATGGTCACAGCATTCACATTTTGGGTTACACAGAGATCACAATAAAATCACTGAGAATTTTTCCACTTGCTTCAGCACAGCCCGAGTTTCCTTTCCTAAGTATCCAGGCTGAAATAATCTTATCTTGACTAGTCCTCATCCAGTCCTTCACAAAACTAGTAAGGAGTACCGACAGGACAGGACAGAAAGTTTCATGTAAACGCTCTAGGTAACTTACCGTAGAAGCATATTTCAAACTGAAGACTGCAGTCAGTCCAAAAACTTTTATGAGCAGATACATTTTCAATAATAAATGGCGAAAACAGTTTTCATAACAACAGATTTTATACTTTAGCCATTGCTAAGAGGGTATCTGCAGGAGAACAGCAGGCTCAATAAAAGAACAACTGTTAATTTCACTAGTACACTGACATTTAAAATAGTTCCTTAAAAATATTTCTAGGCAAATTAGTTTTGATTTATTTCGGAAACATTATCATACCCAATGCAGTGCTCATCTGCAAACTTAATTTTTCCATATGTGCTGAATGTGGACAAATGTCAGAAAGAAAAACAATCTCAGAACATGACCTTTAACAAAGATGCTAATGACATAAACCAGTCCTTATCCAGCAAAGACCTAATGAATTAAAGATAGCATAAAACACCAGCTTTGCAGGCCATGTGCCACCAGTCTTCTCTCAAGAAATCATGATCGTAGGTTTGAGTTTATTATATGGCTTCCAAAGAAAAACAGAAGCTAAATATGTGACACTGAGGCATAATATTTTAGGAAAGATGTTAAGAGATCTGTCGTATATCAATAATCATGTTTCTAGTTCCTGAAACAGCATTAATATCTCTTAAACTAATATCAGCAAAATAAAATGTGATTATTTATATTTTCATCATCATTAGATTGTCCGAGCACGATCTAAATATTTGAGGTACCCCATGCCAGAAGATTATAGCCTGCATTGGATTATCTAATAGATTAGCCTTTTCCAACAGAAATGTTTAGTTTTAGCTGTTATGCTCTATTCATACAAATAGCAAGATTGATTTCCTTGTGAAAGACTTTTCCGATTTCTTTTTCTCCTTTAAATTGTGTAACTGTCATATATGTCAGACTTTGTCTTTCTTTCTGTCACAGCTGGACAAATAATTCTGGATCATCACAAAGTCAGTGAGAACTCTCCTTATAAGTAACGGGTTGCGACTGCTATATTTCTACAAAGACATTGAGATGCTCCTTGCAAAGCTCCTTTAGGCAGGACAGTCAAATGGTTATTAATAAAAAGCAAAATGATTTAAAAGCAAAATGACTTTCTCTTTTAAGGGATCAGTTTTCAGTCTCTCCAAATATAATGTCACAATTCACTGAAGTTTTCTAAGGCAGAATAAAGTTCCTGACTGGGAACAGACCGAAACCAAGCAGTGGCCCCTGTCCTTCGGAAAAAATGCAAGTTTCCATTCCACCCCCCAGAGAGGACGTTACAGACGTTTTCTGCAAAGTGACTTAAAAGCATGCTGGAAGCCAAGAAAGCCGGCAAGAGGAATAGTCCTAGAAGAAAGGCTGTAGAGAGGGATGTCTCACTTGAAGCATTTTCCCTTACCGTGCTGGACACTGCTGTTATATTGGTTCATGCAAAGCGGTAAGGAGTGCTCCAGCCAGTTCTTCCCGCTGCTCCCGCCTCAGACCCAAATGACTGCCGATCTCTTAAAGCCCGGTATAAGGACAGGGAGGCAGGCAGGCAGAGCTGCACGCAGCTTCACGTCTGGCGGCAGCCCAGCAGAATCCCCTTGATGCTGTCTGCCTTTCAGAACGGACCTCCCCAAAAACATAGGCAGTGTGTATCATGCCCTTTTCGTGTTTTTGCTTAACTAACAACAAAAGCAAACATCGCCCCCACCAATCGGTTCTACAATGTTAATAGTATTCAACCCTAAAAAGGCTAAAATATAGATATTAAAAAGCTAAGATCATTGCTCAGTTCCCAGGTAAACAGCACTTTTATATCCTCTTACAAGTGAAGACTCTCAAAGCCAATTTTTGTAAGAATAAAACATAGCTCTCATCATCTACAACTAAACAGAAACACTCCAGTTAAAACGTGCATGCATAACTTCCGCAGACTCATTCTCTGTAATAGAGTAAGCCTTAGATCTACTTTAAAAGGCTATTTTAGTTTTTAGCACATATGTGAACGGTACCCCCCCTCAGAAGAAAAAGGGAAATTTAATGCGAGCAGTGACAGAAAGAGAAGACATATAAGGTTTGTTTTACGCTCCATTGATTCCTACACCACCTTCTTCAACATCCTAAACCTTGTAAGATAGTGTCATTTGGTTAACATTTGACAAGCTTGCAATGCTACCACTCATTTCTGTAAACAAAACTAACGCATGCCAATATAACATTGGGCAATAGCTTAAAGTCACATAATGAGAAATAAAAATATATATTAATAGAAGCAAAAGCCATCCCTTTCACATCACTAAAAGAAATTTTAAAAGCAACTCCGTAAGGTTTATTTAAAAATCTCACACCATTAACAGCTTGTGTACTGATGGACAGCTGCTACACTTGAACCTCCCAGTGCAAGCAGTCATGCACGTTACAATAATCTTAAGCATCATTTACCAAGTATTTGTAGACGTGTTCCTTAGATTGTCTACGCTTTCTTCGAGTGAAGAGACAACTACCACAACAAAAGAAGATTGCTATTATCAGATGAAACGAGCATAAAGTCATTCCAGAAATGTCTTTTGAGCTCTTCTTACAAGGCTGTGACAATTTAAGTCAGAAACAGAATTCCTGCAGTTCCTGAAATGTCTCTTTCCCATATGACAGGTCACAAGAAGACAATCCAAACTTGAATTCATTCCAGCTGTTCACTCTGCATTGCAATTATTTGGTCAAATAATTTTCTTAGGTGAAGAAGTGGGTATGCAGCAGAGAAAGACAAAATACACGGAAACTTCTATATCGAAATCTGACTCTTTCACAGAAAGTAAACACAAAGTACATGTTTTCCTACAATTTTTATATAATGAACATTAGGGGAAAAAAAATCTAAAACAATGTATTTTAGTATTATTTATTCACCAGGACAGCATCCTGGCAAGGTTGTATTAGAAGACGCAACCAGGGTATAATGTAAATTTTAAAATGAAGTCGACTACCCTGCATGTTTGTTGCTTCCTTTCAGACTTCAACACTTGCCATTTCACTGGCTGGATATGCAACATGCTCAGCCGTACCCCATCAAATACCATTAATAATAGCAGCATTTTCCCCCCCATTTTTTAAATAATACGCCCCAGTGCCAAGGGAGGGAAGAAGTCATTACTCGGCTTCTGTCTCCTGGGCCTTTAGTATGCACGCCTGGGCCACCCCTTCCCGGCATTAGGATGGAAACCGTTGCTTGGTTAGGGGTTTCTTTTGCTGAAGATCAGCATCCCCCGTAGCCAGCCGATACCGGGAGCAGGGACCGCAGGAGAAAATCCCCCAAAGTTATTTGCCCTCAGTGATGGCAGGCAGCTCCACTACCAAGGGGCAGTACCACAGAGTATGTCAGAGGAGCACACCGTATGCCAGGCTGCCAGTGCCACTTACTGCCGCGCTAGCAGGACCGCTCAGACGTGCTCACAGCATTTTGAAAAGCATCTTATGGGCAAAAAGAAGAATGCTGCTAAGGGCAAGTACTTGTCAGCACAGCCTCTATTACCCATTTGTTTCACAAGTCGAGCAAGCGGGGGCACTAACACGGAATTAGTTCAGGAGAGGGAGGGCTAAAAAGGGGTTATGTTCTACATAAATAAATATATATAAAAGCCTATAAAAGCTGAGCCTCCCACGCGCCG